ACCCCAGTTCCATGGCAGGTTGAGCCAGGACCAGCACTCGGCCCAAGGCGGCTCACTCGGTCCAGGTCTGCCGCCTCTCCACCAGAGGATTGCCTCCTCCGAAGCATGATTAGTGCTTCCGACCGCCGTTGCAGAGCCCGCCTCTCACACACTCCAGACTCTCTGGCAGCTCTTTCGCCAACATTGCGAGAGGTGGCTTTGCTTTACTTCCCCCTTTTGACCTTCCCTGCATGTGCCGAAATCGTGATACAATCAAAGTATACTTGGAGAGTCGCACACACACGGATGTCAAGTTTTACCACCTCCAATAAGCACTCGAGAGAGGAGACGGTGATGAAGTGGAGGGTGAGGAGAGAGTAGCAAATAGAAAGAAGACCTCGTACGTAAGCCTGCGTCGAATTTGCAGATTAATCCCCCAGGAGTTTGGGATTTGGCAGAGGAAGATCAATGCGTGTGGATCAAGTATTGTTGTACTGAGGTGGATGGATCAATGGAATCAAGGATCAATTGTCAATGAGTGTGCTGCTCGCTCCATCGTTATGGCTGCGTGCGGTTTCTATTAGTGCTGTTGTCATCTTCCAATTGCTGCCTCCCCATCCTGCGAGATCCTCCATCTTATCGGTCTTGGCCAATCAGGTTCCCTAGAACACCTTCCCGATGCACGGTTGCATAATTATCCAGCCACTCACACTTCACAGCATTGGTGCCTATGCAAGCAAAACACCCGCTGCCCTCATTATGAGGCCAACGAGGAGAGACACAAGGAGAGGCGGGAGGGATGTGCAGATTTGATGGCACAGCCCAAGGCGGCATCAACGCTTGTTCATTGGCCTACGGCCTCTCCACCGCCAACACATCGGCGCCTTGTTCAACATGCATCGCCCCTCCAATTGGACAGAGAAAATGGGTAGTTGCTGATCTTGAGCAGGAAAACAAAGCACGGGGCGGAAAGAGAAGAATGCGACCTGCACGTACCATTCCCCTCCGACATCCGGAATGAAAACTACGAGACGAGGAAGGGAGCCGGCTGCGCCTTCCAAGGATCTATTAATGAGAGTGAAGTCCTTTGACGGGGGAGGGGGGCTAAACACTAAACACGGCAATTACCAAGTGCTCCAAGAGAGGTCTGCTTCTCCGTGTGCTACGAGTTCGAGGTTGTGATGTCCCGGGACGCTGGCTGGCTCGGCGAAAGCTGTGCTAGAAAGCAAATATTGCACTTGTTTGGCTTGCTTTTGGGGGTAAAAGGGTTAACAAAGGGAAGCACACAGGTTTGAGTGATCTCCGCCGGCGTGGGCGGCCCTGCTCGGAGACTGCAGATCCCATCATGGCTGATGCGGTGCTTGGCCGTTTCCACTTTCCTCCCATGGACCCTCGCATCACTGATGCTCGTCGATCCCACGCCCTCACAAAACAGCCGCGATGCAACTTCTGCGACACCAGCTGAGCTCTTGGAGAGGGCTGGCGGGCAAGACCGAGCGACAAAGGAGCCTCCCGAACGTTATGTGCCGCACGAAAGTGAGGAAAGAAAAAAAAAGAAAGGCGGCGAGCGGGACGCCTTATGAAACTAAGCGGAATCTCAATATTTTCCATCCATTTCTATTGTTTCTATTTTCTGCGCCTTGCTTTTATGCGACCTGACTCAGAGCCTGATGCGTTCTTTAAAGAAAGCATATTACTAGATGGGCTCAAAGTAGAGCTTCAGCAAAGGCTATCTCTTCCGAGCCTTCCCGCTTCTTGTTTGCCTTGGCTTCTAGTTCTTCCACGTTTGTTCACACACCCGTACATCCAGCGGCGCAATTCACACAAAGTTGCTCTTTGATGGTGACTGTTTCGACAGCCGCGCACACCTCCAGGCTACAAATCTCAGTCGCGGAGCAATAATCTCGGTGCCTATGACGGCATTCCCTCGGGCGCCCCCACCAAGGCCTCCCTAACTTTACCGAGAAGGAAAATTAATGGGGCGGGTGAGGCGCCGAGATATGCTTTGCCTAAAGTCGGTTCATGAGAGAGCATGATTTCGTCGCCTATCGATAGCAATCGACAGAATTCCATCCTGGCCAGTGTGATATCCAACAAGGAGCGCCTGAGATAAGCACAAAGAACCGGGGAGGAGCAGGCGGGAAAGTGTGTTCTGGGGGCATTGATGACACACTCCACGGCTAGCCGCTTCAGCAGAAACTCTGGCAGCGTACCAGTCTTCGCAGAGTTGAAGTTTATGGGTCATGCTCACAGCGGGCTGGGTGGTTTGCTTTTCCTCGACCCTCGCCCCCTGTCTTTTGTGGTGAGGTTGCTTCGACTTCCATGGAGTCTTCCATGAGCCATGGGTCACGGATTATTGGAATCCCCAATTAAAACAGCCTTGACAAGAGAAGCCCGCGGTAGTTCCCACAAAAATAGATTCAAAGCAACCCGACGTCGCTTTGGGGACAACCGATCGCTTTCACAATTTTAACGGATGCCAGATGAGCAAGAGGGCGGCGCCTTGGCTTTGGCTTGACACTGTCAACCGGCCGGTGTATTGTGAAAATTGATCTTTAGGGTGGTGGTTAGTTCAGGCAAAAGGACTGATCTCGATGGGACTGGGAATTGGACAGGCTCGGACATCTGAGAATCGGGCGAGCTTGAAGCGAATGGTAGTGCATGGCATTGGCGTGGGATGGCCGGATATGCGTTCCATCTTTTTCACTATTATCTGCACTTCGCCGCCTCAATTAGGACTGGTCCGGTGGTGTCAAGAACCCAAGAAAGCCACGCAACACGAGTAGCCGGAGAGGAAAAGATAGCGTGGGCAGTGCCTAGCTAGACCCTCATATTTTAGTGGGTTGGTCCCTCCCCTTGGTCGTGCGTGGGTGTGCTTGTGTGTGTGTGCGTGCGCGTCCTTGAGCACGGCCAGTGATGGAGACAGAGACATCTTGCCACACCACCAAGAGAGCAGCTTGAAAAGAGGGCGGACTTGCTGGGTCATTTGTGGAGACTGTCACTTTTCCGAACATCGACACTCGTTTCGCCCAGTGGCCTGAGGGGCCTGCCTACCGCGGTGTGTGGGTTGATAAATGGCGTTAGTGTGCAGTCATGCTGGTGCAAGATGTGCTGCCTTGTGGTTTGGCTGGTGTCTCATGGCTGGTAAAGCCTGTGTCGCTCATGCCTGGGATGGGGAAACTGGGATAGTGGGAGGCCAATCGCCCTTGGGAGGAGGGTGACCCGGATGCAGTCCATTCACAGAGATTCACGGCATAGGTCTCTCCCCACCCAAGCTCGAGTGGCGGAAATAGAACATTTGAAGGCCTTCGACGATTCCCACTGTTTTGAATCAACGCCCTAGTCAAAGAGAAAAGAGAAAAACGGGGGTTTCTCTTGAATGACACGTCGAGGTGAGCACTGAGAGCGGAGTGAAGAGAAGGTGAGACGGTTATCGACTCCCGTCTTGTGGATGGCACATATGCTGAGGTACACGGTACGCAGTTGCACACTGCGAAACAACCTCAGTTTTGGAGCATCGCACCAGTCAGGATGGAGGCCTACTTTGTATCCTTGACCTGGGCTTGATGCAGAAACTGGGCATGCCCACTCAGGGCCGCACGCTGAGCAGCTCGACTCTGTCTCCCCTGCTCAAACAGACACTCAGACAGGCGGAGGTGTCTCCCACCCTCGCCTTCACCCTCGCCTTCACCCTCGCCTTCGCCTTCGCATTTGCTAACCCACTCCTACTCCCACTCCCATTCCCACTCCCACGCCTCCTTCCAAGAATTCCACACCCCCATATTGGACCACGGCCCCACCCCACCTCCACTCCCAAACTCAAACAAAAAAGAAAAAGAAAATAAACAGGCGCAGCTTATTATTTCGAGAAATAGATACTTCATTAGTGCATGAGCTGACCCACTCACACTGACAAGGGTCATGGATTGAGCTCATGGGGGTGGGGAAAGGAGCATCACAACATCACGACCCTTTCCCACCCCAATGAACTACAACATGGATGGTCGGGGCCACTATCGTTGTGGTCGCGGTCGCAGTCGTAGTCACAATCGTACGCCTGACTTGCCTTACTTTGTAGTGGTGTACCCATGTACACGCCGCTCCGTATTCTGTACCCGCTCTCACGACGAAGCACGCTACACACTGCCCTTGGCGCCACTCGCCCTCGGGTTACGAAGTACTCCGTACCTTCTCCACCCTCTCCGTGCACCCTTTCCGAAGCCACCGTTGGACTCTGTCTCTATATGCTCGCCTCATTTTTGACTCCCAAGGCAATGGTTGGTTTATTACCCATCGAGACCCATCTCAAAGCTCCCAACCTCACCTCTCTCATATCTTCACCTTTCCACCTCGACCACGCTCATTTCACTTTTCCTCCTCTCCGCCTTCCCCGTTCTCTTGACTGAGAAGCTCCAATCCATGGGAATACCTTCCTTGTCCTAATCACCGTCGTCCTTTCCTCTTTCCTTAATCCGGTCTGACGGCCCTGTTCAACCTCTCAGCTCTTCTCCCCTCCGGCCTCTTCATCTCGCCCACGACTTACACGATATCATCCAGGAACCACCAAACCCTCCCGGAACTAATTCTCTTTCTCTTCTTTTCTCACGTCTTTCCTTGTCTCTCCATCTTGGCCGTTTGAGGACCCCAAAGGACCCCGACGGACTGGTCTAACTTTGCTTGCCTGGTCCTTGCACCTATTCCAGCCCGTGGTCCAATTCGACATATCCGGAAGAAAAGCAGGACTCTGTTTTCTTTTTCTGTCGTCTTTCCTTGTGCGCGTTGGGTCTCTTTGCTTCTCCGGTCCCGAGATATTCCATCTTAGGACCCTTGCCAGTCTAGGACCTTCGCCCTTTCAACAACCAACATCTCTCTCGCCAGTAACATGCAGCATGCCGCAGCTTTCGACTATCCCACCCCCTGCCTCGCCAACAGCTTTCGACCATCCCAGGTGCCACATCCAACATGTTCAACAGCCATTCCAAGGACGATCTCTGCCGCTAGCCCCCGAGGAGCGGTTGGGAATGATTCTTGAAGGCAAGCTCCAGCTGACCAAGGTTTTGGGCACCGGTGCCTACGGAGTTGTTTATGGTGCCGTCGATATCAACACCAGGGTCCAGTATGCCGTGAAGTGTTTGAGCAAGTTCAACGCCGATGGAACCCCTTGACCGCCGGCAAACCGCTTTCCAGAGGCGCGAGATTCGACTCCACTACGAGGCATCTGAACATCCCAACGTGGTCTCCATGCTCAGGATCGTGGACCGCCCAGACTGCATCTATGTTGTTTTGGAGTATTGCCCCGAAGGCGATCTCTTTTACAACATCACCGAGTGCGGACAGTACGTTGGCAAGGATGAGCTTTCCAAGCGAGTCTTCCTCCAAATCCTGGACGCCGTCGAGCACTGCCACAACCGGGGAATCTACCATAGGGACCTGAAGCCCGAGAACATCCTGGTCACCGACAACGGCGAGACGGTCAAGCTTGCCGACTTTGGACTTGCGACTTCTGCCCCCGTTCGGACGACTACGGATGTGGATCAACCTTCTACATGAGCCCAGGTAGGATTCGCTCACTCGCCCTCTGTATCCGACTAGATAACTAACAAGTTGGTTTTTAGAGTGTCTGGACCCGTCTGCGAAGAGGCCCTACTACCTCTGTGCGCCAAACGACGTCTGGAGCCTTGGTGTCATCTTGGTTAACCTAACTTGTGGCCGCAACCCCTGGAAGCAGGCTTCTGTTGAGGATTCCACATACCGGGCTTTTGCCAGGAACCCTGACTTCTTGAAGGCTATCCTTCCCCTCACGGACGAGCTTAACGACGTCTTGCGAAGGATCTTCTCCCAGAACCCCGACCAGCGAATCACGCTCCCCGAGCTCCGCGAGCGAGTTCTTGCTTGCTCAAGCTTTACGATCCCGGCTGTTCCCGCCAATGTGCAAACGCCACCCAGGTCTCCCGAACCTATTCAATACGTTGACTATGATGAGGACGCCATCATCGACGATGCCGATTACGATGCTCCTCTTTCTCCCGCCTCGACCGATTCCCTCTCCGACGAAGGTTCCCTCACCTCCAGCGTAGAAAGCGTGGAGGATTTGGAGGATGCTTTCATGGAGGAACAACACATGCCCACCCAGCCCGCTACTCTCTTCGACGCCCAAGAACCGACCATGGTCATGTTCCCTAACCAGGAGTATGTACCTCACGCCTACACGGGACCCGTGCCGGTCTCGGTCCCAATCCAGGAACCGATGCCGATGCATCACGTATCAGCTGCGCCCATTCCCATCACCGCACCAGTTCAGGTTCCCAACTGCGCCCCCAAGGCCGCCTCAACCTTCTGGTGGTGGGATGTGATGAAGTATGCCCAGCCGGTACTGCAACCGCATGTGCCCTTCCATCAACAGGTCCCACTCTTTGCTGCTCTCCAGGGATATTGAGCGTAGCATAGCAACCGATCTGTCGACACGCCTTTCTTCTAAGGCTTAAAACGTTCTGAGGACCTCGCAGGTCCTCAGTCTCTTTCGCTTTCGCCCCTTGCTCCGGCGAATGCAACCAAATATACGTTACATCATTTCAACGCCTAGCCATGCCCTTTGGCGAGCTCGACCGAATGATGAGGAATACTCTCAAAAATAACCGACCCGCTGGCTCTGGTCTGCTAACGGCAGGTACCAACGTCTGCTTAAACAAGCTGCTTCATTACCCATTTCTTATGTTTATTTCTGCCTTGGAAAAGCGTGGAGTTCTTTCTTTATCGGAGGCGGTGACAGGATTTTCTTGAGTGTGTTAAGGACAAAGGGAAAGCATCAGGTTGGCGCATTTTGACACGGAACAAGGCGATACACTTTGGGTGGAGTTTCTTCTTTCCTTCAACTTTCTTTCTCTTTTTCCAACCCCTTTTCATCTTTCCTTTCTTTAGCACGTTGTTCTCTTCATGAAACGATGGATGGTTGAGACGAGATATGCTTGCGGTTTTTTATTGTTTTTTTAATTGCCAATGTTCGCCTCGAGTCATCGCCAGAGAGATGTTTTGGCGGGACTCGAGGTTTGGGCTGTTCACTTCCACATTTCTCCCCTTCCTCTTCAAATGACGGCACACTTTCTTTATCTGTGCTCTCATAAAATCAACTGATATACTTTCCTGTTCAGAGGATGTTCGATTACGGAGTGAATATGAAGATATTTGGAAGTGGCATTTCACAGAATTTTGCAATACTTAGTTAGTCTAGAAAGCTTGGGTTCAGACCCAACCGCTGTTTAGCTCAAGGTTTGGAGATGGACATCATTTCCACCTTGAGCTTAACTCAATACAAAAGAGATGGTTTATTTTCTCTTATGATTCTCGCCTCCATCCCCGCGCGCACCTTGAAACGCTTCTCAAGCTCAACACTCCACAAACAGCCGAAGAAGACATCCCCTCCGCTCACAGGGACCATTCGTCCGCAACTCATCAGCCATGGGATGAGCAGGGAGCAAGTTCCATGGTTGCCACACCTAGTGATTCCCAGAAGCCACAAAGTGAGCGGAAGGGGTGTGGACAGGGAGCGCCCGCGAGTAGCCAGGTTTGGTTAGGCCAAGCCCTTGAATGGCATGGCTCTCTAGGTGCATTGGAACTGCACATGTTATCATCATCTGTTTCTTGATGTGACCGAGAGGGAAGGGCTTGGAGTTGCAGGACTGGTCGCAACTGCAACCTCAGCATCGGCCTCATTCGAGAGGCGACAATAAGTATCACCTACTTTGTACCTCAGTCTTCCAAGGGGGTGTGAAGACTCGTCCGCTGAGCAGGGCGATCGATGAGATGGGCGAGGGAAAAGAAAAGTAGACTTTCACCCAGGGCCTGGTCTCGTCCCATCGTTCCTCGTACCCGTTTCTCTGGTTAGCCTTGTTGCCCTCGGTATCAGTGGAGGTGATAATGAGGCGAGAGCAGACAGGGCGCCGAGAACAGGGCTTGCCGTCAGTCTTGAACAATCAACAAGGAAGTCCTTCATTCATCTTGGCGGCTTATTCTGAATATTTTTTATTCTTTATTTTATTTCTATTTTATTTATAAAAAGAAAAACCCTAGGGTTGGGATACCGTCCAACTTGCTCTTCTCCTATATTATTTATTTCGCACTATCTTCCCCCTTCTTAGAAAACATAAAGACCGAGTAGGCAGAAGGGGTAAGGAGACAGTCAGGTCTAGAATCACTGTCTGGGGGAAGGGGAGGAGGATGAGGCCAGGGAACTTGGCAAGCTAGCCACCTCATGCATCGTGGAGTTGGAAACTGTCACCTTCACAAGGGTTCTACGACTAGGCATTCGGTCGATCACCGACAAAAGCCGTCATCAAACGGAGGGAGCCAGCCTGTGGTTGTGGAAGCCCCGAGTGTAAAAAGTGAAGAATAGAAGAACATGAACAAAAGAAAGGCGGAACTGGCACTTCTCTGTCTCTGCAAGCAAAGAACCCCCTCGCCTCTCGCCTTGAGAAGCCGTTCATTTGGAGGGTTGCAGTTGGATGGTCCCCTGCGCATGCATCTTCGAGGCGTGTCTGATTGGCTCGCGGGATCCTGAACCAGGATTTGGTTCGCCCTGTTTTTGCCCATCCCTGTGGAGTCATCTGTTTCTTTTCAAGGGGCCAGCCCTGGCCCATCTCCGGTATTACTTGGACGGAGATGCAGGACTTGGAAGAGCCCATCCAAGTTGTCCACCGCAGTAGCGTTGTACCTTCTCGCACATTAGCGTGGCTCCTACCATAACACACTCGGGAGTCGGCCTTGAGAAGGCGCAAGCCAAATTGTGAGGCAGGTGCCAACCAGATTGGACTCGAGGCGGGCGGGTTGCATTGGCCCGCATCTTCTACCCTCCACTCGCGCATCTTCGTCCCATGCATGTTCCCATTGAGTGTCCTGCAACCTCAATATTGCGACTCGTCCTTTTTCCCTCTTTGGCCAAGCGCCTTTGGCACCCACCCTCTCTCCCTCTCGGGGACTGCTCTAGAAAGTTGGGTTGGCGTAATAGCTAGAATCCTTCCGCAGCGATTAAGTGGCTGATTACGCATGCTAATCTCTTCAAGGCTCTGGCGGAGCGCGCGAGGACTGGGTGGGAGGAGCCAAGGATGCCTGAGGTGTTCAGCTGCACCAATGCTCCCAATCACACTTCGATGCAGCAGATGCAAGCTCGACGGAGGACATCCCTCAAATCCCAAACTGGACAAAGTGCAAGCATCAAGCAGAAGTGCATGGAATGATCGAAGCAATAGGATCGAGGCCAGCACCAAGAACAACACGCACCTCCAGGCGTGATGATCAGCACATGGCTTCAAGGGCGAGATACCGCCCCTCGCTGGTCTCCCCGATCAGGAATTCCGCTTTGACAACTGCCGTTGAAAAATGTCTCCACCTCGATTTGGGACTGGGTGAGGCCCTAGCCAAGGAGTGAGACATGGTGACTCCGACTGGTCGCTTGCACGCCACAGAAGCCTGGGGCAGCACAGTCCCAAAGCAAAACTTGGCAAAATGTCGAATGGGATCACCTGGATCCATGCGAACTCTCAACCATTCACAGCGATGAGAGCGGGAGGACGTCTGAAAACAGGGTGCACAAACGAATGGGAGAAGAATCGACGAAGTGCCCTCGGCTGGGCTAATTCGCGTACATGCATGAGTTCCTCCACTCCGCGACGCACACAAGCCTCGCGTGGAGGAGATGCTGGCATCAACCTCCCATCTCACATTTGTGGCTGTCATCCCCCACTGTCCATGGCGATACTACCTCTTCCGTCTGACTAGCCTCAACCTCTGAAAGAACATGCGTGCCGGCATCCTTGTCGGTGATGAAGACAGCTACGTCTCTTGAATATCAGACGCGATGCTAAACGGTATCAGCTGCCTCTCATTGGACCACTATTACTTTCATTGGCCGTTCTCGTTCAGGAATTGCTCCGGGTTCGAGTCAGATCTTGGCGCCGTCACAAAGGAGAAAGAGCGATATTAAGGATCTAACAGCGCATACTTGCTTTTTCACACCTGGCGCATCTCCAGGATCGGGACGCCCCTTCGGGATGCAACTTCCCAAGTGCTTTTTTGCAACCAGCAAGGTTGGAAGGCATCAGCACGAAGGGGGCCTGGGTCGAGGATCGAGTGATGGTACCATTGTTATTTCCATTTCTTCCTCCGCTGATCTTGAGACATGTCCCCCTTTTGGCCTTGAAGAGAGAGGGAGCCTGGAGCTCCATTGCTCATTGCTTTTGGTGCCATCCCTTACTGCCATGTGGGCTGTTGAAAAGGTCCGGTTTGGACCCTCTATCAGATGTGCGCGGACAGCCAGATTTCATGGCATATGTTCAACTATCTCTTACTTCTCTATCTTGGCCCAAACACGGTATCCAACCCACTCTCCGCTCTTGAAAGATGAAAGAGGCCTGCGAGGTCCCAGAAAAATAGGATAGCAAAATGGCACAGCCACTCTCTCTACCGGACTCTGGAGGGCTAACAGCATCACTGAGGACCTTAGGTTGCAGATCACTGATCGAAAGAGCCAACTATTCATCAGCCTGCGGGCTTTCTCCGCTTCCTCGCGATGTAAACAGGAGGAACGCGGATGGAAGCCCCCATGGACCACCCGGATTGAGGTAGGTCAACGCCTGATGCTGTGTTCTCTAAGCTCGAGCTAGCTCCAATGCATACGCGAGTTCATGCTATAATAGTGATGAAGGAGAGTTCCAGACCGAAGCGATGACGGTAACAAGGAGTTGCTTGCTTACTTTTTCCTTGTGAGGTGTTGCTTTTTGCACCGTAGCCAGATATGGCATAGTGCCACCCCGCATTGTCGGTGGACAGGTGAGGTGAGACAGAGGCGGTGAAGGGGATGACAGAACAGGCTTTCCGCTCGAGCGATGGGAATGGATAGAGACTCTGGCCAAATGTTTTCTCCTGTTCCTGGTGACCCGTGAATCGTTTTCTTGTGGACGTTCTGATGAACCTTGAATTAGATATCCCTCACGCTAAGCGCACTACATCAAGTTCGGACCACACCCGACCAGCAGTTCGAGATGAGCTCGTGTCGCGATTTTCTACGTTCCTCGCAAGGTGGCACCTATGCGTTTCCCATCCGCATGATACGAGGAAGATACTTTTGAAGCCGCTGGCTCTCGACATCCAGAGTGTGATGCATGCCGCGTCTGAACTATTCCTCGAGTAAAGTTCTACATAGGTGGGGGCGAGATGTGCTTTTCAGCACGTCGCGTGTTCATCGAGTAGCGGGAGCCAAACATGGCCTGCCTCTCAAAGATGAGTTGTGCCAAGCGATGCTGCCACCAAAAGGTTTTGCCCATCATGAGAGTTCGCCCTGGCTTCTGTATCGCGCTTTGCAGCTAGATCCTTTTTCTCAGGGGACGGCTTTTATGATCACCACGCGAGTTTTCCTCTCGAAGCTAGAGTTTAACACGATGGCTGGGCCTCTCAAATTATCATCCTCCAAGGCAATACAGTGGTGTCATGGGGCGCTAACGGCATCTCCTATTCGCCTTCGGCCTGGTGCTAGTGATGCGAGAAGCGTGGCTTTTCCAAGACACTGGGGATGAGAATGAGGGCAAGTATGTACGCTAAGCGACGCTAAGGTATCGCAGGCTCGTGCTGCACGAAGAGGTGGGCAGTATCATTTCCCGACTCCTGAGCTTCGGATACCAAAGCTTAGCAAGCAACAGGCTGTGCGTGTTTCCCTTGTCATCCGCCACTCCCACTTGCATCGGCAGCTCGAATGGTCAATGCCCCGATGGACAGTTGCACAGCGAGTAGTGACTAGGGTGGCCAGCGGAAGAAGGGGAGGAGGAAGAAGGGGAGGAGGAGGAGGGGGAGGGAGTGGGGAGAGGGGTTGTGGAATGTGCCAGCTCGGTCAGCGAGCTGTCATCGCGAGTGCAAACCCAGATCTGCTCTGTCACAGTTCAAGCTCTTTCAAATAACAAAGTGCTACCCGTATCCTAGATCCCCCCCAAATTATCTCATGCTATCAGTCGCATTGGAGACCGCTAGTGGCTACAGACTGTGATTGGATTGCATCGAATCAAGTTCGAGGACTTGTCACGTTACTCTGCGCAAGCCGGACCAGAAACATGAAGCTAGGGTGTGTCGACTCAGGAGTAGGACAGTCTAGCATTGGCACACCCGTGTTCAAGTTCTTTGTTAGATCACGTTATGTGACAGTGGGCCTTCTAGTATGGTACCGCAAACTTCGAGGCGGAGGCCGGGTAGCTAAGTCCGCGTTGCTCCCTCCGAGACCCGGGGAAACAAGAGCTAGGGTGGGCTTTTGCTCCAGGCAATCGCTCTCCCTTGCGTCCGACAGGCAACACCGCCACAATCGCCAGCACGGCGGACTGGGATTCACCAGACACGGCAAGTGCTCCGTTCCATTTCCACCTTATATCTCTGTCCATAAAACTTGGGAAATGCACGGATCTCTCTCTGGGGAGGAGGGTGTGCATTTTCGGAGGAATGAGCCGACTACCATACCGGTGCAAAGGGAATTATACCACCTGACGGGTATCGTCTATCTTGTGGCTCGCGAGAATGCGGCGCGAGGAGGCAAGGGAGAGATATTTAACGGCTCTCGAAGCACCCTGCCTGCGATGCGACTTCCCGTCGTGGTTGGGTGTCGTTAGACTTTCTCCGGAATGAAGGGACCGATGTCCATGCAAAACGTCCAAGTTACCTTGCTGGCAGGGTACGCAGCTTGCCGATGGCAATCGGGCGTTTCGGAGAAGACTCCAAATGGAGCAGGCTCTCGCCTAGACTGTGATGGCCCCAAGTGAACAGGGCTAGGCGGCTACTTCCTCCCTAGTTGGAAGCACACCTACCTGACACAACGGATTGTGATTCCCAAAATTGTGGTGTCGGTAAAAGTCCAGCCAAGCAAGGGATGAGGTATGCAGTAGTCCCTGCACAACTTGCGATGAGGATGCTGAGTGGCCTGGGATAAAGATGAGGTGAGGACTGCGTAAGCATCTACTGACCCTGTAGTCCGGGATGATGGATACCCTACCTTGAGAAAACGGAACCGGGGCAGTGGTCCTGGGAGGTGCAGGCCATTTTTTTGTTTGGTTGTTTGGGGCCTCGTGTCGATAATATGTGAGAGTGGCACGAGCGAGATCACGTACTCGCTACTCTCCCTTTCGTGGTCTCTTGTGCCGTCAGTAAGGAGCAGCCGCAGAATTCCGGTGACGACGGGATATTGGTAAAAGAGTGCAGCTTTGGCTTTTCTCCAGAAACGATACCTCGGGAAAAACGCCAGGATAAGTTAAAGCAAAACCAAGAGGGGACGTTGTTCGGTGTCGGCCCATGCCAGTTACTAGGGATGCTAAAAGGGAGGCTATGACAACCGGTCACCAAAGGGCCTGGAATGCCATTCTACTATCATGTGAGTTGATCAGGGCAGGTTCATATGGATACGGTGAGAGAGATCGAGAAGAACAATATTTGGGCCCAGCTCACCGGAACATAGCCCAGTGACTTAGACGTCCGCTGCGGCTTGGTGACTCTGGACGCATCTTAATTGTGCGAAGGTATCATCTGTGCGTATTCATTACTTTTACTTTTTCGCGCATGCCGGGCTTTTTTCTTTTCGCCATTGGTTGTCCGAATCCAGTTCTTTTACGGCCTGCCGGACGCTATACTAGGCCCGTAGTTGTACCTCCGTGAGGCCGGCCTCAAATGTGGATCCATGACTACCCCGCTCCGGTCAATCCGGGGAGCGTGCGGGCCGTGACTCGGAGGCACCCGAAAAGGGAGTGGTACAACGATCTGGCAATGGAGGACAATAAACCAATTAATCATAGAAGTGTGTAGACGTCTTTTTTATTATTAAGTATTGTACTTACTTACATTATACAACATTACAAGAAGCACTTTAGGTGAGATGGCTAAGTTCACAATAGGAGGGATCCATTTTGTCACGATGGGTTTGAGGAACCTGCATTATTGGACTGAACCAAGCTTGCTTTGAACATAAGAAAATAATCATGGTTATGGAGTAGAAGAGAATATGTAAAATAGAAGGTTGAAAAAAACCAGCTGCCCACATTGCATGATAAGTCCCCGCATTTTTCCAACTTTGAGATATCGACGGAAGGAGTAAAGAAAAGCAAGAGAGGTAGCATAGCCAAGGTGAGAGAAGAGGTGGAAAAAGGGAAAAATAGAGAAAAATATGTCATGTCCCGCGGAGAACGAAACAACAAAGAGAGACCGAGAAAGTTGGAGGAGGCACCTGTCACTCCTCATGCATGCAACAGCAAAACGCTTCCATCCCATCATCATCAACCTCCACCCACTTCGCACTCGAAGAACGCTTCAGGGTCGGAGAGCAAGAGAAAAGAAAAGAGACGGAGAAAAGATGGCGGCTAAGGTAAAGCTCACGTTATCTCCAGGTTATCTTCCCCTTTTTTTCCAACTTAGTCGCTGGGCTCGAGAGGAGCACCCTTCTCGGGCGCATCAGGGTCGAGAGGGGCACCCTCAGCGGGCTCCTCGGGAACGAGCTCCGAACCTTCCTCGGGCTTGTCGATATCGAACTCGCCCTCAGAGGTCTCATCGGGGGCAAGCTCGCCACCAGCGCTGGGCTTGTCGGGGTTGAGCGGGGCACCCTTCTCGGGAACGTCGGGGACGATCTCACCGCTCTCGCCGGGGACGGAGACCTCGCAGAAGACGAGGGCAGCGGTGACGGCGTTGCGGAGGGACTGGATGTGCGCGGGGGTTCTCTCCGTAGAGGATGAGGATGGTGGCGAGGGTGGTCTCGAGGCCGATGATGTCCTCAAGGTCGCAAGATCCGGGGAGGGCAAAGATGCCGTCCTGGCGCCTGCCAATCTTGAAGTCGGTCTTGACGTCGCCGATGAGATGGGGAGGGATCTCTACGAGATGGCGCCTGCCAATCTTGAATCGGGTCCAGGCGTCGCCGATGAGGACGGGGTCGACGTTGTGGCCCTCGGCGATGAGGACCTGGGCGAGCTGCTGGGCGACCATGTAGACGGGGAAGGGAGGGGTGCGGTCATGGTAGGTGGGGGAGTTGACGAGGGAGGTGAAGGCCTCGAGGAGGCTGTTGAACTCGGTGGCCCTCTTGTTGTGGCCGGGGAGGACGACGGCCTCGGGAGCGCCGTGCTTCTTGAGGAAATCCTTGAGCTGCTGGATGCCCTTCTCGAGGGCGGTCCTCTGGGCGCTGTCCTTGAGGGTGCCGAGGAGCTGCTTCATGATGGCAAGCTCTTGCTGGGCCTTGATGATGTCCTCGATGGTGACCTCTTGGTTCTTGTCATCGGGGTATTCAGGCTCCGAGGGGTACTCGGGCTCCGAAGGGTACTCGGGCTCAGAGGGATACTCGGGCTCCGAAGGATACTCGGGCTCAGAGGGATACTCGGGCTCAGAGGGGTACTCGGGCTCAGAGGGATACTCGGGCTCAGAGGGGTACTCGGGCTCGGAGGGATACTCAGGCTGCTTAGGAGGCTGGGGCTCAGAGGATACTCGGGCTGCTTGGGCGGCTGGGGCTGCTGAGGGTACTCGGGCTCCGAAGGGTACTCAGGCTCCGAAGGGTACTCGGGCTCGGAGGGATACTCAGGCTCCGAAGGGTACTCGGGCTCGGAAGGATACTGGGGTTCCTGGGGATACTGGGTTGCTTAGGAGGCTGGGGCTCCTGGGGATACTCAGGCTGCTGGGGGTATTCAGGCTCCGAAGGATACTGGGGCTCGGAGGGATACTCGGGCTCCGAAGGGTACTGGGGCTCGGAAGGATACTCGGCTCCGAAGGGTACTGGGGCTCGGAAGGATACTCCGGCTCCGTAGGGTAGGTAGGCTGGGTGGGAGGCTTTGTCGGGTAGTTGACGGGAATGTCGGGAACGATGGGAGCTCCTTGCTTGGGGGCTAGGAGTGATGACGAGGCCACCTCCGCAGCCGCCGGTCGTGCACCCGCCTCCGAATCCCTGGGGAGATCGCTTCTTGGGGTCAAGATGGGGAGGATGCCGGGGGAAGCTGGATGCCGGGAGGGAGGAGCTTGAGGAGCTCCTCGGGGTCGAGCGGGATCGCGGGGGCGTCGCTGCCGCCGCAGCTGCTGCCGAAGCAGAAACCGGAATCGCCGTCGTCGTCGCCGAAGCCGAATTGCCTCTTCTCCCGGGCAGGGAGGGCCGAGGCGGCGGCCACGAGACCGAGGACTGTGAGGGCGGTGGACCGCATTCTGTGGGTGTTGCTTGGTGTTGGGGGAAGAAAAGGGTGGTAAAAGGGAGTGGAAGGGCTGCGCGTGAAGCAAATCGCCTCTTGTACGCGAGAAGGAGGAAAAAAGGAAAGTTGAGAAGAGAAAGGGTCTTTTCAAGACGCTTCTTATCCTTAGGGAGGCAGGATGAGGAAAGGATTGGCAACGGGAAGCAAGACCAAGAGAAGAGATGTCGGGATACAGGACTTATCGTGACTTATAAGTCGGTGGAGAAACCCCAGAAACGGGCGATGCGGGTTGCCACCGGGTCAGGTCATTGCACCGGCTAGACATCGCGAAAGGACGTGTTAAGCAGGGCCAATATTAAAAAGAAATATTTATAGCACATAAAAATCTCGCCTCTTCTTCACCCATTCAACGGCAGGAAGTGAATTGCTCAGAGAGCATCTGGTGATGTCTGGCTGGCTAGCTTGTCATCTATGTTAATATGGAATAGATGAAGCTGAGAGCACAAAACCCTCTTCACAAAGTATTATCCGGGGCACGGGTACTTTAACCGGACGGTCCTGCGATTTTATTTGCCCCCTCCTCCTCTCCGTCCCCGAAAGGCTTTTCACGAGGGAGGGAGGCCAAAAGGGACCCGTGAACCAGAAAATGGGTACGAGGAGGAGGAACTGGGCTCCGCTGTTCGAATGAGGGTCGGCCGGGAATATGGCCATTTTGGTATCAACGCTTGCCCCCCCACCCCTCCACCGCCAGCAGTGGGTGAAGAAGCGGGATTCGCCAGCCTCTCTCACCCCAGGCTAGCACGGTGGATGCGGACCTACGAAGCGATTGCCTATTTTTGGCTGCACTTTACAGAGAAATTTCCTTGCCAGATGCGATTGCGGGCCATGACGAAGCAGGCAGGCCTGTCCACTATATCGCTTCCAGGTTTAGAGCGATGGGAGCGGGTCCAAAGCACCGATTCGGATAGTTTAATGGCCAAGATGGAGAAAAGAGAAAGAAATAGAAAGTGAGAGAGTGAGAGAGAGCGAGAGAGTCGGGAAGAGCATGGGCGTGACCCTGACCGTGTGCTTGTGCCGCGCATGAGTCCATCGCGACTAGTGAAATGGACCCGGCTTTCCGCACTGCGAACGAGGCGCACCGCACCCCAGAAACGCAAAAGGCGAGGAGCCGTGGGGATCAGATCAAAGGCCATGCAGTGTTGGTTGCCGGAGCGTCACAGTCCTCTACAAGGTAGCAGAGTTTCCACGTTCTCGCTCCCAGGGACGCAGGGCTCGGTATCGGCTGGCTGCCACCACCATTCAAGTCCTTCAAGTGGAAGACCCGAGCCAACAAAAGATGGTTGTGGTGCTGACGGGCAGACCGGGCCAGTTCTCTCGTGGTCAGCAGGGGGAGGGGAGGAAAGGGGTCCAGGAACGGGTGGCGGCGACTCGACCGGCGTGCCCCGTGAATTGATTAATCGGAGGGTGTGATGCTTGGGATGTTGCCACGCTCGAGCGTATCATCTCCCCATCTTTCCTGTCCTGTTTTCTTGATGAGATTGGTTCTTCCCCCTTGCCCCTTCTTCTTTTGCCCCTGGAACCTGTCTTTGCATCGTCGGTGCAGCCGGGTTGCGGCGTTGAGATGGAACACTCCGCAACAGAGCCGTGGCGTGGCAGCGAGGGGCTAGCCACTAAGAATAGATCAATTTAAGCTTGTCTCTGGTTGAGAGCCAGTTGCCCGAACCTCTTCCCAACGTTGCACTGGGCATCACGGCCGAAAGGGGTGCATTGGTGTGCATTCAACTTGACTGGGGCGAGAGCTTCACTTGATTGACTTGTCCACCTTTCAAAATCTCACCTCTGGTTCTTCTGTTTTCTTGTCCTTTTTCCCCTCCCCACCAACTAGATAGTGCCTTGGATACGGCGCCATACTTCGGCAGATGCTAACCAAGATCCAAGATGGGAGAGACGTGACGAGATCCAAACCAAATCTTCGTGTGAAACATCGTCACATATGGCAAAAGAGCCACCAGGAATTCTTTCTTTTCTTGGGTCGCTTGGCCGTTAGAAACAGCTCGGAAGAGGACGCTGCGAGCCAAGATAAGACCACTTATTCGCGCATTTCAACCCAAAACGCGATGCTCATAGCATCAATAAGGGCCCGGAATGAGCCTTCACCGTCGTGACTATCCAGCGAGTTCGTACATGGCCGAGGAGGTTGGAGAAGCGGAATGAATGCGAGAGAAAAAGGTGCCAGATTTAGATCTCGCGAGGCACAATTAGACTTCGCGAGACAGCAAAAAGTGCTTCTCGGACGGCGTGGATTTGCTTTGGCCACTTAGCCCGCGTCCTCATTTCCCCGGATTCGCCGCCCGCCATCAAGACAAGACTCTTCTTCATCGTCATAATCATCATTAGGGGCTGCTTGCAGCAAGTTCCAAATCTCACGGGGGCGGGCCCTCCTCGGCAGTATTTTGGACAGAGAGCGGTCTATTTTCACGAAGGCCTATGAACCGAAGACGGCAGGGAGAAGGTGGGTGAGAGGTGGGGAGCAACGGTTGCCACAAGAAAGAGACGTGGAGGCGAGGGAGGGAGGGATGGAGATGTAGGGCGCAAGAAAATGAAAGATGAAATCAGGAGAAGGGGAAGAAGGGCGGAACAGAGGGAGGGAAGAAAGTGGGAGAAGAGGGAGAGGGAGAGTGAGGGTGAGAGTGAGAGTGAGAGTGAGAGCGAGGGCGTTGTGACGTGCTGTGGCTCCGGACTGTAGGGGCCGCAATATGTAAACGGAACCATTTTTTCGACGCATTCTCGGCCTTGTACGGTACACGGTTCTTTTCGGTACATGTAATAATTTGGCCGCAAAGCAGCCTTAACTTGGTAGAGGAGGGTGAAAAATCGGGTTAGGCCACTCGCACATTGAGGGTCAACACGGCACAAACGCGATGGTTAATATGGACGGGAAAGCAACCCACGAGTAGTTTTCTGGGGTTCTGAGCGAGCCATTGAGCCAGTCACATCGTGTCCAGTGACGAGTAGATGAAATAAGAAGGAAGCGCCTAAATTACGCAATGCGAAGGATAAACTAGAAATGGCATAACACGACCACGTCTAAGTCCTGCTTGCCTGGGGTTGACGAAGTGAGAGGTGACAATTGTCCAGTTCTCTCACCATAAAAGCAGCAGAGGCGGGATATCGCATTCGATTATTCACCTCCACAGCTCTGGCGGCTGCGATCAATTGGAAATCAATCTGAGAACAACTGCCTGCCTAAACTTGGTCAGTACGTGATATCGTAATATTCCCATCATACAGGCCATCTTCATCGGAAACCGTCAATCCATGTCCATGATGCCTTTGTGTTAGGCAACGGGAGAACGAGGGGCCGATTTTGGGAAAACCAGCTGTGAGAATCTATATTGTCTTTCGACCGAGGATGTAGTTGGTGTTTTATCTTATTTATCTATTTATTTTTTAAATTATATTTATGTATATTTTGAATTTTGATGGAGGAGCGATGGGGTCTGTGATGGCCTTCCTAGAGCAAAGTCGAGTGTGGCTTGCTGGGCGATGAGTGATGCGAGATGGCAGTGATGGGAGTGATGGTGGACCACACGGTGCAACTTGAAGCCTGTTTCGCGGGCTCTTATCGCCCTCACGTGATGATAAGAAGTCGCGCCTGTCGACCACTTTAATGTTAGACGCGATCTGTGCCAGCAGGTGGTCGAGGCCCTTGGGATCTAGGAATGAAACAAAATCTTTGCTCAACGTGAATAAGGAAAAAACAACCCCTCCTTCATTACTACACGGAGGTATGAGCTTCTCATACGCAGGCGTATAATCCGGTAGTTGCCTGCCACACCTACGGGCCCAGTCATCATGGTAAGCTCAAGCTTTGCGACGCCCTTGTTCTCTAATTGCGCCTGCGCTGACATTGCCATCATCTAGCCAGCCTTTCAGGCCATCAACGTCGAGATCGAGGAAAACATCGAGGATGAGCTCGATACCCTCAAAGAACTACAGGTACAGCTTCTCTCATGGTCTATTGGCCCCCAATCGCTCCCACCTTCCCGCTGTTTCATCTAACAAACGCTCCCTCTTTGGTCCAGGTCGATGATGCCCTCAAGGTCTTCCAGACAGCCTTGAAGCTGCATGCCCAGGGCCCCAGCGGATTCGAAGGCGCGGAGAAAGCCTACGAAGACTTATTCAAGTCAGAGATATTCAAATACCCCGAAGCCGCCACCGAATACGATCGCGTCGAGCGTCAACCCGAACAGCTCCTACCGACCGCTACGACTGCCCCGGTTACCGTCCTACCCGAGCTCACAGTCTCCGCCGCCGATGTCGACGGTACCGGGACTAGCTTACCGCAGACCCTATATCTAGCGCATAAGAATCGTGGCCAGCTTGCCATTGATCAGCTTCGGCATGGATCGCGCAGGAACAAGAAAGCCACCGAGGAATATTTTCTTCGCCCCGACGTGAGGGACCGTGCGAGAATCGCCCTCACCGATTTCTATTCAGCTCTCGACAGAGACCCCTCCGATGCCGAGCTCTGGCGACGAACAGCCCGCGTAGCCTCCTTCCTTAAGAGTGCCCGAACGAGTCGATATTGCCTTGAAGCTGCGATAGAGCTAGAGGACGACCCAACTGTTGTCGAGGTTCAGCCCCCGTCACTTGTCGAAGGCTTGGCTGGTCAGCAATTGAAGAATGAGCTCGAGCTTCTATCTGATGAAATCGCCTTATCCCACCCCGTCGTGGAGCCGTGGATCGACCAGGAGATACCCGAGTTCGTTAAACGATGGTTGGATCCGCTACCCTTTCTTCCGAACCCTTGTAGCAGCCTCCAGGGGCTCGCTTCGACCGCTCTACCGCAACACGGGAGCGGGTCGTCATCAAGGTCCCCAATCCATCGTGGAAGGATGTAGGGGTGGCGCTTGTGGCCTTTGTCGTCAAGGAAGGCTTGACGGGTGATGCCATCGAGCTCGATATCGAAGGTTTGCCCGAAGAAGAGGAAGAAGAAGAGGAAGAGGAAGAAGTGGAGCCGGCACAGAAGGGAGAGGTAGAAGATGAGGATGACGTCGACATGATTGCCGCCCCGACATCTGTGGATGGCGACCAAACTGTAGAAAGTGGGCGCGACTCGCCCTCCGCTCAGCTCCAGGCGGAGGTCGCTACCCCGGAGGCCATTTCCCCGCCGTCTCCCACCACCAACGGCCAACCCCGGCCGAGGAGGCCACGGAGACGAGAGACGAGGAGCAGCGGCCGTAGCTTGTCGCGAAGCCGGAAGCGTTCCCAGTCCGCTGCAGGTGTCGGTGAGAATGGGCCAGAGGAAGACAACGGGGTAGAGAAGCGAAGTAAGAGGACACGTCGGAGAGATACGGCTGCCGAAGAAGTTGTCGACCCCAGCGCTCTATATGCCTCTAAAATTGCAGAGTACCAAGCCGCGGACAAGCATCTCTTCCAGCTGACGAAGGATATCCTCGAAAATCTCGGCGTGACTGATGCCGCGAGCATCGATGCCATTGGCCAAGTTCTCGAGTCTTGCGATTCCGAAGATAGGTTGGCCAAGTTGACCAGCCTGGCTGCCACAGATCTCCGCGTGTCTCTCACCTCGTTTAAAGAAGCCAACGCCAAGATCTTGTCTGGCAAGAAGGACCAACCCTCCTTGAGCCTCACTTCCTTTTTAGAGCATGCCAAGGGTGCAACGGAGAAAACATCCCCTACTCCGGCATTCGACGAATCCCACGGCCTATCGTCCTTTGCCCGACGCGTTCGGGCAGGCTGGATGACCATCCACGACGTCGTTTTCGAGTGGGTCAAGCGCATCGCCGAGAGCTACCTAACGTCGGAGTGGTCGGAGGAGATGAAGGTGGCAGTCGTGCAGGTCATTAGCCGGTTTGACGCCGAAATTTACAAGCGCGTGGTTGACGAGCTCTCTGCCATACCCCAGCAAGGTGATGGGGCCAGTTCGGGACTCGGGTCTTTGGACGGGCTCGTGGAAATGCTCTTTGAGCTTCACCTCGACGTTTACGAGCGCATTATCAATCCAAACAGTATCGTCGAATACAGTGTTCGCCTAGAGACCCGAGGACGTCTTGAGCGCTGGCAGGACCTGGCCTCATCGGTCATTCGCATGAGCCCGAGAATGAATACCGATCCCATCTGTCTCCGTTTTATCTGGGCTTCAATCTTCTCCACGGCGATTCTAGAAGCGGACGTACGGCGGGAGCACATTCTGCAGTGCTATACGAGTTTCCGCGATTTGATGGCGTCTGATGACTGCCCGCAGATCCACCTACCGAACAACGCCGTCATACCACTCATTTCACCGACCGCGGCCGAGCGTGAGATTTCTAAACTCACAACCATGGACTTCTTCTTGAGTCTCTTCCAGGATGAGATGGATGACCCCATATCCGTTATCGAGAGCCTCGAGCCCGTCCTCAATCCTTCGTCCGTCTTTGTGCGGGTGGATGAGCCAAAGACGCCCAGCGGGGACGAAATGACGGATGATGAAGAACCCACTTTAATCCCTATCACGGAGTGTGCTAGCCAAGAGCTGCTCGACCTTTGGAAGTTTCTTCAAAGCAGTAATACAGAATTGCGTCTCTTCCTCTGGTCGAGACTGAGCGAGGCATACGGAGCCATCAAGTACGCAACAAAACAGTTTTCGTGCCGTTTGCGTAGTATCGAGATGATTGTCGAAGACTTGGCAAGTGAAGCATACCTGAAAACTCCGGATGAGTCGCGCCCGGTGCTGCTCATGAAGTTACTCAAGTCGCTGGACGAGTTGCTCATCATGGCCCTCACCCTTGCCCTCAATGAATCGGCTGCTTTCGAAATCATCGACGAGGCTCACCTGAGGACTGCTGCATCGACCCTGGCGAGGGTCAACGCGCTTCTCCACACGACCGCGATATGCGAAGATGAGATGCGCATCGCCTCCACCCTTCCTTCCCCTACAAGTACTTCTGCTCTGCAGCTTTACCTCAACAAGCTACGCGAGATGCAGGTCAGGACTTGGTGCTTGCAGTACACTGTATTGAGGGCCGGTATACAGCTGCACCCCGGGATCTTCACCAGCCCGGACAGTGACCGCGCAGAATTCTTGGCGGCCGTGCACCAGGTTGTCGGCATCCGCAAGTTCTGCAAAGCCTCGAACAAGATCTTCCTTAAGATGATGAGGGTTGAGCTCTTGAAGATTGAGACGATTGACAATTGGGAGGACTATCTTGGACAAGTTCTCTTCGATCTCCATGGGCTAAAGCTTGGCGTCGGCATGTGGGAAGTGGAAGATCACCAATGCCCTCCCGAGAAATTGGAAAAGAGAACCACCATACAGCTGGTTGAGCGCATAACTATTCTCGCTAGCCGTATGCCGATCAAGGAACTCCTGAAATCAGATCTCAAGGTCACAATTGAGCGGATGCAGCAGACCATGGGCCAGACCAAGTCGACCCCGCAAATGATACACAATCTACGAAATTTCACCGAATTTCTCAAGAAACCTATTCACCCGTTGCGGTTGTACGAGGCAACCAAGGGGAACATTGCCCTGGACGCCGTGAGCGTCAACACGCAGGAGAGCGCGCTTGCCCAGCACGGGTGGTTCTTCCTGCTCGGCATGATTGCTTTGACCAAATTCAAAGGCGTCGATCTGAATAGAAGGCAGACGCCAGGCGCGACGGACGACTTGCGAATCGGGGCAACATTTATGCGACTGCAGCTCCAGTTCACCCCGGAAAGTGGGATGCCTGGTTCCGCTTGGCCGAGTGCTTTGACTATGAGCTGGACGAGGCGGTGCTCTGGACGGCGGACAAGATGAACAAGGACCGGGGCGAGCTCGTTAAGCTCCAGCGCAGCGCTATCCACTGCTACACCTTGGCGCTGTCCAACTCGCGCCACATTGACCCGGAGGGCGAGGAGGCGGATGCCCTGTACGAGCTCCACCACGGCTTCGGAATGAGGATGTACGCGTCGAGCCGGGAGCCCTTTGCCATGGAGGCTTTCCACCACAGCGACCAGGTACGCTTCTTCATCGCTAACAACTCGGGCACGTACCAGCGGTCGGTCCACGACGAGATGGGCGAGTACCAGGTGTGGAAGTTTGCGTCTTTCCTGTTCCGGAAAGCGATGAAAATGCGACCGAAGGACTGGAAGAATTCGTACATGTACTCCAAGTGCTTGTGGAAGATGTACCAAAAGCGGGAGAAGGACAAGGACCAGGATAAGGACAAGGACCACGATCAGGACCAGGAGCGAGACCAGGAACATGATCAGGATCAGGACGCGGACCAGGACCAGGACAAAGATAAGGACGGGTCCAAAGCCAGGCTTAGACAGCTCGTTCGAGCTCTCAAGGAGGCGGTCCGGATTGTGGCAGCAATCCCCAAGTCCCGCCACAGCGAGCCGATCCTCGAACCACACTACAAAATGCTCTCCATCATGCACAAACTCGTACTCAAGGGCGACATGTTGGGCAGCAAGGCGGCCGAAATACTCTCGGAGCAGCCATTTGGTATCCACCACGCCGAAGACGACAACATGGATGACAACGACAACTGGGAGGAGTATGTGATCAAGAGCTTGCGCTACTTACGCGACAAGGACAAGTCCAACTGGCAGCACAGGCTGATTATGCGCCACGCCCGTATCCTCTTTGACGACTCGGGGGCGGAGACGTCAAATCCGGAGTACATACAGGTGCAGGCCAAGGCAGCTTTTAACGTGCTCAGGAGTCCATGTTTACCAAGACCATGGTCATGAACGTGTGGAAGTGTGATGCGGAACGCGCGGGACGACATCACGTCTTCACCGAGCAGTATGTTCGGTTCGTGGTCAAACTACTGCTCGTGCTAGAGGACCGTGTCAATCTAGAAGCGCTTCTCAGGAGGATCCGGAAGAAGGGAGCAGATTTTTATCACTTCAACGACCTCTGGGCGAGCTGTTGCACGGCCTACATCAAGCTGCTACGGAGAACAAGCAACGTCACGCCTACGCTAGAAGATGCTTTCAAGTCGGTTGTCCTGGACGAGTTTGAGGGTAACACGGAGCACGTGCTGGAATGGGCTCGAACGGAGCCTGAAGCACCGGTTCTCAGTTGTCTGAGAGACACGATTGAGCTCAAGAAGTTGAATGCGAACTTGATGAAGGTGACGGTGATCGACGACCTGATTAGCGACTGCTACACGATGATTTATCTCGAGGCGCGGCCCAACGTGGAGACTTTTAGCACGGAGACGGCCGAGGCGTCGCGGGCGCAGAGCCCGGACACTACGACTGCCGACGAGGAAATGAAGTTGGATTCCGCCAAAGACGAAGGGTCCGAGGAAGGAGACAACGCCGCCGACAAGAAGGACACGTCGCTTCGCAGCGTCCTGGGCGCGCCGGTCGGGGCGAAGGGCAATGAAGAGGACGCTACGATGGACATGGACGAGGACCCGGCAGAGGGCGAAGACAAGGCGGCGGACACCCCTGCTGCGGCGCCCGTCGCAGAGACAGCATCGAAGCCTCGAAAGACTGGGATCCGTAGACCGGATATCCTGCGGAAGGCGGAACACGTTATTCTCAAGCTCCTCGACCCAAGCAAGCCGGATGTCAATGGTCCATCTGGACCTGCCAAGTCTCGCGGATTGTCTGTTGCCAGCGCGAAGAACAACGAAGTGGCGGCAGGCGGTGGCAGCGACGTAGAGATGGAGGACGGCGAACCGACAATACTAAAGGAAGACGAGGGCGGCGAGGATGCGGATGAAGAGGAAGAAGAGGGCGGAGAAGGAGAGGTGGAAGGCGACGACGGGGCAGGGGAAGACGCGGACGACGAGGGTGGCCAGGAAACGGAGCTGCTCTCTTCGCCCCTCGGCAGCCTGCATGATTCGGCGGACGAGAGCGATTTGACGGATGTGCCGCCCGATTCTGACGATGAAGAAGGGCCTGGCGACGAGCAGGAAAACGATGAAGAAGAGGATCAGGAGCTGGAGGAAGAGGAAGGTGATGAAGATGAAAAAGAAGACGAGGAGGGAGGGGAAGATGAGGTAGAAGAGGAGGAGGAGGAGGAGGAGGAGAAGGTGGAGGAGGAAGAGAAGGAGGAAGAAAAGGAAGAGGAAAAGGAAGAGGAGGTACCACCTCCGGTCGAGGAAAAGAAGCCGACCAAATCGCGGAGGGCGAGGAAGGCTGCACCGGCCTTGATGTTCCCTAATCTACGGAGGAGCTCCGAGGCCAAGGCGGCCAAGGCCGAAGACGAAGGCGGGGATACGGCAGACTGAAACTGGCGGGGACTTTATACACCACCCCTCCGTTGTCACATACAAGAGGCTATGGGGGATACAAGTGGAGGGAAATCCGGGCGTTGGGGGTGCTCTTTTAGAACCTGGAGGAGTTTTGACCATGTCTATTTGTTTCCTTCTCTCCCTTTTTTCCCCTCCCTGTTAGTCCTCTATATTGCTCCCCTGAGGACCATTTGCATCTATTTTTTTCTTCTTCGTTGGTTTTAGTTAGCAGCGGAGTTGGCGGCGTGGGAATGTTCGAGGGCTCTCTCATCATATCGAGCAGGCGATCTCGCCATGTATTATTGTATTGTACAAGTAATGCGAACCACATCCTTCTATCTTCCGCCTTGGACCCCAACATCTCTTTGCATAACTTTGGGAAGAAGTGCCTCAACTTCCACGAACCCTTATTGTGCCAGCCAGTTCGTGCTGTTCCGTGGTATTTCTCGGATCCTCCCCCTCACGATGTTTAAATCGGAAAGAGCACTCCAAAGATTATTATAGTTGGCCCAAGAACGTTGGCCCGCAATACCGCAGGCTGCTGGATCGCTGTTGCCTGGGGCCGAGCTGACTGGAGAGTCCCACTTTAGTCGGCGAGACCGGGGGCTCGAGGCGAGCAAGAGAGAGGAAAAGGAAAGAAGCTCCAACCCAATCCGTGCAAGAGATTATTATTAGTCGCCCCTTCCGGCCCAATCCCTGTGAGTGTGACTCCTCCCGCCGCACCGAGTCTTCTCGCATCCCGCCCCACTATTTATTCCTGCCCCTTCCTCGTCCTGGTTTGCAGCAGCGTCGAGAGTTGATCAGGTGCGCTGAGGTACAAGTACAACAACCACTGTCAGCCTTGCGCGCCCGAACCTCTTCTTCCTCTCATCACTTCGATCCTGAGTCCCGCCTAAGCTTGTCGACCTATTCATCTTTTTTTCTCCTATTCCTATTTATCCTTTTGCACGACTATCACCTCTCTCTCTTCTCTCGACCTACCTTCCCCTTCTTTTTCCCCTCTACCCCTACCAATGTCGGCCAAACGTATTCAAAAGGTAAGACTGCCCCACCATCCCTCCCCCTCTCCATCTTTGCCCCGCCATCAAGAGGGATTGGCAAACTGACCGCGACCACCGTCTTCTTGAATAGGAACTTGCCGAGTGCATGGCCTCGCCGCCTGCTGGCATGTCCATTTCTCTCGGGCCCGACTCCGCCATTCACCACTGGCGGATAACCATCACGGGGCCTCCCAATACGTCCTACGCTGGCGGCTCCTTTGGTCTCCTCCTCGACCTCCCCACCGACTACCCCTTCAAGCCTCCCGTGGCCAAGTTCATCACGCGCATCTACCACCCCAACATCACAAATGATGCCGTCGGAAACATCTGCCTTTCCATTCTTAAGCCGGACGCCTGGAAGCCCTCGACGCGGTTGTCCGCCGTTCTCGAGGCCGTGCGGAACCTGCTAGTCGAGCCCCAACCTGACGATCCCCTCGAGGCTAGAATCGCGGATGAGTACAGGAACGATAGGGCCGAATTTGACAAGAACGTCAAGGCTTACGTGGAGAGATATGCCAAGAATAAGCAGCCCGAGTTTTAGAAGAGAGGGGACGAAGGGGAGCCGTTTTTGGAGGGGCCCCGTGGACGTGGGCGCGGCGGCTTTTGAATCCTGCAGCTGCCGTAGACGGGGAAAGAGATTCTTCCACCGGGAAGTTGCCTCAGTCGGGGAGGGGATTCCGGACGCGGATGGGCCTCCAGAAGAACAGAATAGATTACGTGAAAGCGGGAATACCCTTGGAAGGAATCCGCAAGATAGGATGCATGCGCAACCGGGACCGGCCCCGGTTGCGCCAGCCATGACGCATACGACCATGAATACGACTCACAACTTTACACATTTCGTTCGCGTGTTCGCTCGTCTCAATGCGTCCTTCCCCAATCCTCTATTGCAGGAGCCTCCTCCTCCTTACTCCCAAAGCCTGTTGCCCACACGCAACGAAGCTTCCAACAACTTGGTGTCAACCACGCAAATGACCATTAATCCTTCTGCTTTCCGAGACTTGTCCACTGATGCTCAGGTGTATGCCCATTCCCAGGCACAGTTTTCAATGCGTCCTCCCTTGTCTATGTACACACACCCTTCCCGCCGACAGTTCCTGATTGAGTACCAATCGCCTACCTCAGCACCTGATCTACCCGCGGGGTCATCAATTCCGCACCTCGTGCCTTAGCATTGGCCGCAGACGCAACCTCTGCCCGTATGGATCGGGTCAGCAGCAGGCACAAGCTCCAGCGGGCAGGCTCAGATGCCGCCGCAACCATCACCAGCTTACTCAGTTACAAACCCATTTTCCGGTGCCCGGCCTCGCGAGATTTTGCGTCCCCCGTCGCTACTCGACTGGCCGGAGGCGGATGCACGGGGTGGCGCGTCGACGTTCACGCCTATACCGCACTCCGAACGGCCGGATCGGCCCCCATTATCTGCCCATGCACATCGTCTCTCCTTCCCGACGCCTCCACAACCAACACAGTCAACCCAGCAAATTGATGCGCCAGAGCAGGTGGAACGTCAAACCATCCTAGCCTTGCCCCAGCCGGAACCGTCAGAGCATAGGCCCTCTGAGGAAGCTGATCGATCGCACGACGGCTCGCAATACTTCACGGACCCGTAGTTTCAATATCGCGAGGGGGACAAACCATATTTTCCTCGTTAGCTGTCATCGGGCACATCTGGGATCTTGAGGCGAAGAGTGATGGCGATGGGCGCTGGCGAGCACCGTTTCCGTGGCGAAAGAGAGGCTAGAAGCGTGCGAGCGGTGTTGCATCATCTTCATACCCAACGTTTTGCCATCCGAGCATCATTGGAATAGGTCAGCGTTTGGCTCTCGATTCTCTTTTTGACCCCTGGTCTCAGGACTCCAAGACCTCGCCTCTTCACCCGGTGTTTCGTTGCCAGCGTGGTTGGCTCTGTGCCCCATTCGTAGCGCTTGGTTCAGGTTTCTGTCTCAATGGTTTCCACTTTGTTTTTTCAGGGTTTATCTTTATTTTCCCTCTTCTCCATGTCCCTTCTTCGGCATGGACCACTTCTTGCCCCTATTTGTCTCGACCCCAGCGGCCCAGTCGACGGGTTCCCATTTTTGTTCCTGCAGGTCTCTCTCTCCGAACAATAGAGCAACGTCATGAAGCGCGCTGAGCACGGGAGCGAAGTCTTTAGCTGTTCCACCTAGGCCTGATCACATGCTTCTTCAGCATTCCCTTTGAGCGAAGAGGTGGAACATGTATTTTATAGAAATGAAGAAAAGTCTTGACGCACCGAAAGCTGCATAGCTGTCCACCTCGCTACGCCCGTCTCTCCTCCCTCGGGGACGCTTTGCAGGGTCCCCCTCGTCAATGTCAACCCTGCCCCCTCCTTCCTCCAAGGAACATGGCAGCCCAGCATTATTGTTTTTAAGTGACTCCCTGCGTTTTCGGGTGGGGTTTATCCCATTAGAGTCAATGTTATCTTGCATGCAAACAGTGGAGCAAAGCAGCGTTTGATCAGTTCAAGGTGTATATTGTTTTTCTTCCACTCCCTTCCTCCCCGCAACCCCCATTATGATTTAAATTTATACATTGACGGTCCGATCGTGAACCTTTTAAAGAAAGAGAAATGAAAATGGTGACAAGGGAGTGCTTGCGTGTTGGGATTGCGATGCCCATGCATAAATAGTCTCCAGAGAGTAGCTGAATAAACACGACTGCCCACATCGAGGGGGCGGTCGAATTGATTCATCTCCCTAGATTTCCCGCAAGCTTGTGATTCGGTTTGTGTTGTTTCCCCACCTCTTCCTCTTTCATCCGAGATGCCTGTAAGAGTCTATACTCGCTCTAGTTTCAGAACATCCCTCATCTCCCTTCATACTCCAGGGCATATGAAACTATCCCATGAAAGACGTGAAAAAAAAAAAGGAGACACAGACAAAAGGAAATATGGAGACAGAGGTCGAGGGTGCACCCTGCAAAGACAGAGGCGCGTAAGATGATATCCAATAGGGTCGAGGAGGATGTGTGTAGAGAGAAGGGGGAAAGAGGAGAACAAAGAAAATGGCCGTAAGATGTCAGACGTTTCGTGGAGATGATGAAGAAAAGCAAAGAAAAAAACCCAAGCGTTCCAATGCCAATGCATGCCATGCAAAAAGAAAAACCATCAATCCCCTTTTTGTTGTTCCCGTTGATGTTCCGTATTGTGTTTGTGACTCCCAAGTATTGTGTATATCTCACCCCATTTTCGCGTTTGCTCACGGGATGGTGGCACTGCTCCGCTTCCCAACTTCCCGCGAGAAGCAGGAGCTTAACAGCGTTCGCTTATATTGGTACACCGGCATCGGTATACCTTCTCCGCCTACGGCCAAAGAGGCCGCGCTTCTTCTCTTCGATGCCGGGGCTTTCAGTGGTGGCGACCGCGGTCCCGTCCAGGGCCGCAATCCTTCTCTGCTCTATCTCGTCGCGCTCTCTCATCTCGCGGCGTTCCGAGTCGACTGTACTCTGGCTCAAGTGGCCAAAGCCGTTGCGGCGCTTAAAACACGTGCTCATCAACTGATTAGCGTCAAGCATGCGGCGGGGCATTGTCTGGACGACAGAGAACATCTCCATCGGGTCCTCCACACCCTTGATCTCATCCTCACCCACTTTCAAGATGGCAAGGGCGATGCGAAACATGGTCTTGGAGCCCTCGTAGAAAAACACATCCCAAACGCGCAGTGTCGTCTCAATAGGCAAGTTTCCAATGAAGCAGCTCATGAACCATGGAGCCATGCTCACCGTGATGGGGGCGAGTCGGTCCGAGTTAGCCACGACATGCTGGCCACGTCGAACCCGAGGCTTCTTGACCGACTTGCCCGTTCCTGGGCGCGCTAGGTTGCCGAAGGGATCGAGGCCATCATCGCCCGCGAGCTTGGACCAGAGGTCGGGCATCGAGTCATGCAGAACTGTCATGAGGACACCAAGGTCAACCTTGGAGCCATGGAGATTGGTCTCATGAGTGCCAGGGAGGAAGGTCCGCGTGATAACATTGAGGAGCCAGAAACACTGCTCTTCTGTTGGGACAAAGAGAAGAAGCAGGCCTGCAATGAAGTTGAGACTTTGGCAATATCCAATCTTGGGGTTGTAGATTGAAAATGCGTGCAGCACGCGGCGCAGGGAGGAAATCATGGCGGGCTCCGTGTCGTCCGGGTTGTTGGGGTCGGGAGTCTCGCCCGTTACCGTCGAGGTGCCAGGAGGCCTGAAGCGGATGTTGTCCGGGAAAGTGCGGTGGAGATCCCGCTCAATAATGTCGGCGTCCAAGTCCTTCGCCTTTTGTTTGACCAGCTGATCGTAAAGGCCTGCATGCCTTCCAAGGATGGCGGGTCCCTTGGCGTAGTAGAACCACGCCGCACCACGCCATTCTGGGGGATGCCCTTGCGAATAAACCTCTTGGTCTTGACCCCGGCGATGGGGAACCTAAGGGGATTGTCCGTACCGAGGCCGCTCTCCTTCATGTACTGCACCCATTTTGTCCGCCGACGTGCCAAATATTGGCTGTATTCGCCGTTCCACTCATCGTACTGCTCTCGGGTGATGTACTGATTCACCTTCTTGAAACCATATCGATCCCTTGATTCGGGGTCCTCCTCGACGGGAGGAGCCGAAACCGGTTGGGGGAAGGCCTGGACTGATTCCTTCAGGGAGAGTCCGGCAGGGGCGCGTGCTCCTCACAGTCGCCCATGGATTTGGCAGAATCCCGGTTCTCGCTAGCACGTCGGACGGGACGCGCCATAGGCGCTGGGAAGTCTTCCGAGATATCAAGCTCCGAAGCAGGCACGGGCCTAGCCTCAAATATGGGGAGGGCGTCGTCGTCGGGTTGTGATGTGGGGGAGTTGAGCGAGGGCGGGTAGTTTGGTGAGAGGGGAGACTGAACAGGGTTGGCTACGACAGCTGGTGCGGCGGCCGCCCTCAGGCTATAAGTAGACATTGTGGTGTCGGGACGAGTGTCCGCAACCGACGGGAAAACATCATTGGCGCCGGCGGCATGGCCATTATCCGTAGGGTCGAGTTCAGGTTCCGTGTCATCGTTGAAGCCCTGCTCGTACAAGACCATGACGTCTTCCACGCTGGGCTCATCGTCGAGATTGGCGTACATTGAGGTGATTGAACTGCCCTTGGTGACTCGGCTGCTTCGTTCCGCAAAGGAGGCGGCATGCGTTGTCGAGAGCGTGCGCTGCGATCTGACGCTTGCTCGTGGTTCGCCGTCTCCGAGCCAGGGAATGGGTTCTCGGGTAAAATTTGTGACGATACTGGTGTTGTTGCTGTCCAATGTTCGGCCGTAGGTAGGGGTCGGTCGGAAAAGAGGTGTCGGGTTTGAAAGGCTGTTATTGTTGCGGGTGTGTTTAGGGGAGTCGTGACTGGGGTGATTGGGACCCTCAAAGGTGGATGTTCCTGGCCAACGGCTGCGTCGAGAATCGTAAAATATATCGTTGGCGGATAGGGGTGGAGGAGGAATTGATGAGGAGGCTGCGGCGGTATTAAGAGTGTTCGAGAAAGGGTTGGTTGTGGTTATGCCCGAGGATACAGAAGCACCCTGCCCCGGGCAGGCCTGGAGAAATTAAACGATCCTTCATCGCTGGTGCGCTTTGTCGTGGATACGGGCAGGGGCCATACACCCGGATGCGACCCTGCGTGATTGTTAATTATTGTCGTCGTCGTTGTCGCACTTGACGCGTTCCACGGCTCCCTCAGCGGATTACTGGGCCGCCGAGGGCGCGAAAAATTGCCAACCGTGGGAGTCGTCATGTCTCCTCGGACGGAGGGCCGCCAAGAGAGGTCGAGGTCTGGCGATGGCGAGCGGATGGTGGTGGTGGAGGAGGAGGATCGAGGGTTATTATTTTCGAGGAGGGTTGGGGGATTTCTATCAGTGACAGCGGGAGCGGCAGCAGCGAACGTCCTGAAACCGACGGATTGTGGTGTGTTTGGCGTGCTTGGTGGGTTGTATTGCTTTTCATGTTCCGATCGGTCTAGTCTGGAAACAGTAGTGGCAGCAACTATTAGAGGAGCACCAGGAATGGTCCTAGTAGCAGCAGCAGCGACAACAGCAGGGGTGGTGGGGGCTGTGGGAAAAATTCGGCCACTAGCGGTTGTCGAGTTTGCGATTGGGACCTGGAGCGACGAAGCCAATGCTGCTTGTTGGGAGACGATGCAAAGGACAAGGACGAAGAGCTCGGGGTCAGGGTGATGGAAGTCGGGGTCGATGGGATGGAGCTGATGGTGACACAGGTGGCTTTGCCAGTGATTGCAATATCGGTGTCGATGGGTAATATATTGGGGCGACGTGAGCGGGAGTGCGAGCGAGAACGGCTCAGACTGCGAGACCGACGGGAAAAGTTGGATTTTGGACGGGCAGGTTGTTTCGAAGAACGGGGAGTGTCACAGGTCGCCACAAGAGCAGCCGTGGTATTGTGACTTGAAGCGGAAGCAGGAACGGAAGGGAGGGTTGGGACAGGTACAGGCACAGAAACAGAAAGAGCGACAGGGGCTGCCGCAAAATTGGTGTTGCTCCTGCCTCTTGCTTGTTCCTGTGCAGCAAGGGTGGTTCCTGCTTCCCGTTGGCCGATTGCCCTGGGTGGGGCGGGTACGACAGGGAGAGGGAGGGCGAAGGGGGACCACGCAGAGGAGCACGCAGAGGACGAGGAAGCGGGCCGAGAGGCACCTGTGCAGGCGAGCGCGCAGGCATAACTGGCAGCAAAAGCCGCCGTCGTGCTCGTGGGAGGTGTCAGGTTCGGGGCGCCATGAATAATGGTTGGGCTGTTATTGGCGCTGAAGCTGAAGTCTCCCGTGCTGGGGGTACTTGCACTGCTGCCTGTGCTGGAGGAGTCGTGCAGATGGACGGCGTTCCAGAAGGGTCCCTAGCGACCGTGCGTCCACCGTGCGAGAAGCACCACGCGGGCGGATTGGTGGTCGACAAGCCAAACGGAGCCCCTCCTGCGCCGCCAGAGGCGCCTTCTTTCCAGCCAGCAGAAGCCGCCTCCTTCTCCTCCTGCTGCTGCTGCTGCTGCTGCTGATGGTAGCGAGAGGCTGCGGCGTCTTGTCCGGACTGTCGTGCAGAAGACAAGACCTTCTCCGCCGCCCGGCTGACCGCGAGATCGAGGCTGGAATGCTTGTCCGCCAGCGCGGACAATTGACGCTCGTCGAGCGAGCCCGAAAATTTTGCCCATGCCGCAAATTGGGCCCTCTGAGGGGCTGGAGCGAGGACAGGGGGCCGCGGCGGAGACACGCCCCCATTCCCGGGATCGTCAAGGGTGGGCGACTTGGAAGTCGTCGCGCTAGACTCCACTTGGGTGGTGCAAACTATTTCTCGCGAGCCTGGGTCATCTCCGCGCCATTCCCTGGCTCGGCCATGCCGCATGATTGATTTCGACCCGGCATCTTCCAGTCCCTCCCCGCCGTTAGCCTGGCTGCTGTGGCTGTAATAGTCGCTCGTGGTAAAATCAGCCAACGAACAATCCCAGGTTGCGGGGAAGCAGCGTTCCACGGTGAGTTCGCCCAGAGCTCGCCGACATCGTGGTTTTCTTTGCGAGACCAGCCATTGATGGCAATGTTTCGAGCGTGTCCGGCGGTTGAGGCGGTCGCTTCGGCCTCGCGCGGCGATATTCTAGGCCCGTCCCTTTGATTAGCGATATTATTATCGCTGCTCACGTCCTTCCTCCTGATCCAATTATCCGTAAAGCTCCGGCTTCTCGGCCGCGCACCTCTCTTCTTGATAGATGACGTGCAGCTCGTAATGATAGCAGGTGGTAGCAGCGCCGCAGGCGGACTCGTCTTGACCGGGCCGCCGTCGCAGTACGAAGTGGAAAGAATGCTGGTACTGGTGGTCGGAGTGGTGGTACGGCTACCGTCGCTAACAATATCGCTACCGGCGGTCGTCTCCTGAGCCTCCTCTTGGTCGCGGCCTTGCATTATGAGCGAGGCAATCGCGGGCAAATCAGCCTGGAATTCTGATACAGCATCGGGAGTCGCCCACGATGAGATGAGCAGTGGCATTGGCTGGGCATGATCCGGGATTGGCGAGGCATAGAGACCGAATTCTCGATGCCTCATGCTCCGCTGGCGACGAAGCTGTCTCGCGTCATAGGCGAGGGCTCCACTAGGCATTGTTGCGGGGCGATCCTATCGCCTTTTTCCGATGTGCCGGAGGGCAATGTGTTATACAAGTGTTTCGTTTTAGGCTTGCGTGTGGCAACCTTTCTTTCGTCCCTTTTTCGAATCTTACTCGCCTCTTACACACCTTCTCGTCTCGATGTTCTCTCGCTCTCGATATCTGCACTGGGCGAATAGCAGCCCGAGTCTCGTACCCAAAAACCAAAATTTCCCGTGATGCCCGGAGTGGGGCCACCAAGAGAGTGATATCGATTCGATGCGTTCCCACAATGCGCTCTCCACTGTTTCCTTCGTTTCCTTCAATGATCCACTAAAGATGCTCAACGGTAGTCGGAGATTACGCGGAAGGAGAGAGGGCAAGAAGCCCTCGCGGGGAGGCGTATCAAACCCACGCCAACCCTCGCGCAGTGCCGGCGAAGAAGGTTCGTATTCGACCGAGGTGTGATACCGAGTATTCGAGCAGCGGCTCGACTGAAGACAAGACCGTGGTGATGATGGGCGGTTGCATAGATTTGTCGGATGTGGATGTGGCTCCCCCAACAATCCAGCAATTTACATGCAGACTGCTTGTAGGTGTAAGGCGAGAGGTAGGGAACTACATTTGGCGGGGCGGGAACAGGTATAAGAAGCGAAGCAGTCGGTAACCGTGTCGACGTTGACCGAGACGGGCGCAGGGACGAGAAGGCACATCTGAACCTGGGTTGAGTCTCTGCGGGTTGAATAAGACGGAGAACAGGGTCTTCGCTGGTTTACATCAAATCAATGATTGATTTAGTCTTAGGCCAGATCCACCATCGCTTGCAGAGAGGGCCGGCAAGGAAAAAGCAAGTGAGACAACACCACCACTTTCCCAACTATGAAGACAAGGGAAACGCGCGCGAGAGGAGAAGAAGGAAAAAAAAATTGAAGAAAAAGAAACGAGCAGAGGATAAAAGAGTAAGCTAAATCCAGAAGGGCAAAGGAAGGGAGAGAAAAAGAAAGAAGGCAAGTGAGGAGGAGCAAGAGCAGTCCAATACAACACGATAGCCAAGCTGGGAGCTTGCAAGCGGCCCAAGAAAAAGAAGGGGACGCGACTAACGAAGACTTGTGCCGTTCCTCAGTCGATGAGGGTCTCACGTCGCAAATTCCATATTCGTCTTCTTTCGTGTGTCTCTTGTTTCTTCCCTGCCCTGCCGGTTTTCCACCAGCATGGAAACCCAAGTACCCCTCCCCTTGCGCTGTGGTTCATGTGTCCGCACCGAACCGGCGCTACGTCTTAAAGAGTCTTATTACACTGACGAAGATAAACACACAAAAGAACTCGATACGACGCAAACAGACTCGATAGTCAATATGGCCAAGTCAACTCTAAGGGCGGGAAATCGACAAGAGACGACTGGACAGAGTCAGGGATACACGAACAAACACGAAAACGGATGCCGGCCCCAGGAAGAACAAGAAGCACGACAAGTCCACCTACACTCCGCACACACACACACACACACACACACACATGCCCACACCAGACAAACAAGCACACAAGACGATTGCGGGCACATACTTCGTACATGCCCGCAGCCCACTAACGCATCCACCACGGATGGGACTGAAAAGTACTCTGAACCTTGAACCATGGAATCCAATCAAGCTGTCAAAAAACGCCCCCAGGGATCAAAGAAACGATGAACCGAACTTTTGGACGCAAGGGTGGATGCAGCTCTTGTCCATGTACCGAGCGGAGCGCGCGCATCAATTGATCTCAGGGGCACGGACCAGACACAGATCGCCATTGCTTCCCGCGCCAACACTAGCAAAGAATGTTGGGTAGAGAAAGCTGAGCAACTTCGAGCTGTCGTTTTTCACCTACAATTCATGTACGCAATTAAGTCTCTTCTGGAAAAGCGTATGAAGATCAGATATGTAAGGGGAAGGGGTGCAGGAAAGAAAGAAGAAAAAGAAAAGGGGAAAGGGGAAAGGGGAAAGGGGAAAATGGAAGATGGAAGATGACGAGTACAGTTAAGATACTGAGAAAAGAGCGAGGAGGAAAAAAATGAAGGTGACCTCGTCCCATCTTGGAACGCACTGCACCTCGAACCTTCAGATGAGATGAGGTGAGCTGTGAGCTGTGAGCCGGCATGCAGCGGAGCGGAAATTACTCTTGCGCAACTTTGCGTCCCGACTTTTCAAACGAAGGCCTGGATCCAACCGTTAATCTGTCATCCGCACATGCGCATGTGGAGATGTGGGCATGTTCGTCTGCGTGCCAGCATCCGCTTTTTCTTTTCTTTACGAGCGAGGGTGTTGCGGATAGCACCAAGAAAAAACATATTGATGGATCTCTCACATCGATCAAATGCTCCCCCAGGACGCACGCACCAGTCGGTGGTGATTTCCGCCGCCCTTATCCCTCTGGTCTGCACCTGTGCTCCCGCCGCCCTGACGGGTTTGGGAGCATCGGAGCAACAAAGTCTGGCAAATTACAACTTTTGCATTGCATGATGGGTGCTTGCATCAACTTTTCGCCTTTGGTTCTCCACCAACCCACCTGCCAACTGCACTGTAACTGGATCTTCAAACGAATCTGCGCGCTGCTTGCCGGATTCGACAAACGACTCCAAGACACAGCCCCTTCCCAGCGGGCCTTCAAACATGCTCTCGCTTCCTTTCGTTTGCTCCCATTTTTTTCTTCTTCTTCTTCTTCCTTTTTTCATGCCCGGGCTCTGTGCTCAGCCCAATACCTTTGATGTCATTAAAGTCTTCAAAGCTCGTGCACGCAGTGACGCGGGACCTCTTGCCCGTGATAAGACCTGGCCGGGTTCAATCGCCCACATCTAAATTCTCTGGTGTCTACACCGAAAATCAAGCTTACAAGACTGACAAGGATCATTGATCTTGTTTTATATTCAATGGTTCGGTTCGGTATTACAACATTGGCAAGCTCAGAGCTCGCGGGGCACGTACCTCTCGCGCTCGAGTTTCGTCTTTGAAGCTCATTCAAGGCCCCGGTGCAACCTTCTCCGCGTCGATGCTCCATTCAAAGGTTAGCATCAATTGATCATCCATCGCTCCTACTGCCCGTGCGGGAGGGTAGCGCGTCGAGATATCCGCGAAGCACGCGTCTCGTCGCGTTGTGGTCGAGTCCAAAGAGCTTTCTTAGTTTTTCTTCTTTTGCTCTTTTCCTCGTCCTTCCGAAAACCACGCTTCGGTACTTGTCGAGGTCTCGAGAAATCTTGGTCCCGGGAAATTGAATGGCGCCTTTATTTTTGCTGTCGTGTCCGCTGCATTGCCCGGAAAAGAGCGCACGTCAAAAGGAAAAAGGAAGACGAAAACGTGTGCCTGGTCGAGGACAAGCCCACCCCGGATCCACGCGTTCTCCACTGCCCAAGTCTCTTTCGCTGCCCGAAGACGTGGGGCCATCGAGAAGGGGAAAGAAGAAGTAGAATTTTAATCAAAATTAAAAAGCCTCTCGGGAATCCACAGCCAGCAAGAAAGTCCTCGAAGCCCGGCTGAGACATGAAAGACATGGGGCCTTCCCTTTTCCTCGTCGTCACACATGGATCACTCGAGACTTGCAGTGTTTTCTTCTGCAGATTACGGGCAATGGTTGTGCAGATTGAAGCCACGAGTCCTTCATCAAACACGCCCATCGCCTTGAAAATCCGTGTGACCTGGCTGAAGAGCGGGTTCTTCAAAAAAAAAAAATTTCGGGCTCTAATTTGCGTCGGCCTCTTCGTCCCAACTTCAGGAGTTCTTCAGCCTTCTCGTCCCAAATGCGACGCTGTACCGTGACTACCCCTGTCAGGGTGCCAGTAAACAAAGGCTTCCACCCCGGCCTGGCTACCCAATGACGCTGTCAAACGGCCAGAAACCTGCCCAATCCAGGCAATGGCAGGGTTCTGACGGGACATCGGCGTTTCCAACGTGCTTTTAGTGTATATTATCCTCGAGTTCCAAGTATTATTAGCGATGGAGGCCCTGGGCGCTGGCAGAGCGAAGAAACCTGCTTTTCCATCAAAAGTGCTCACCTCTCGGCCTCGTTTCTGTTTCTCCTCTATTAGCCCTGATACTGTTTCTCACCCTTCCACCCCAGTGTTTCTAGTGTGGCCGACGGAGGAGGCTCTCCGCTCTGCAACCTTTGATCTGACTTTCTTTAACCAAGCTTTTGGAGTTGACGCAGGTACTGGCGCTACTCACAGCACAGGAACACCAGCGACCCTGGATCGGGAGCCTTTGGTGAACCCTTCCGACAGCAAGCGAAGTTATAGACATCATGAGATGGCCCCCTGGTAGTGGTCGGTAGTGGTTGATGACATGTAAGTAAAACGATGTTTCTCGCGATGCCTTCGAAGCAACCTTCAACTATCCTACTAGCTCGAATAGTATGTGCCTCCAGCAGGGAGTCTATCGATTACCTTCAGCTCGCCTCCTCCCATCCATACGTTTTGTCATCCTCAAGATCCTAAGGAAGCCGAAAACCCAAGGCAAACAGGCTCTATCCGGCAAAGCCAAGCCAGCTTGCGCTCTGTTTTTCTTGCAGCCCAAATCCACATCGTAGATGTTGTTTCGCCCCTTTCACCTGGCCTAGTAAAGTTGAGTGAAGCCGATGGAGACTCCATCGCCTCTCCATGAAACTATTGATGATTCTTTGTAGCAATCCACGTAGAATAGTGTGGCGTTTGAGACTTCGCAATGCGAGACTCTGCGAGGTTTAACTTGGCATCTCCTCGCCCCTTTTTTATATTATACTGTTCGAAGTTAAGTCAAGGAGATAGAAAGGGAAAAGATAGCCTTTGGCTCAAATGGCCAAGGAAGTTTCAGCAGGGAACGACCGATAAGCATATGCGATAGTGGTGGTGACCTCCGACCCCCTTTCCAGACGTCTAGGAATGCCGATCCCGTTCCTACCTTGTGCCGGGTTCCTCATCCTCCGAGCTCATTTCTTTTCTGAGCGTCTTCTGGTCTGGGTTTCTGCCGTCATGGTGAGTGCGATCCTACCATGCTGCCATGGTATCCTCGATCAAACGAAACCTTTATAAGATATTGATTGCCATCTGAACCAAACACCACTTCCATCGACGGGTGATCCTCACAGAAGAACCTTGTGCCATGCCCTCGATCAGCCAGCCCTGCTCTGTCAACACCTCACGTCGCTTCCATTGGGGGTAGTCAAAGTCTTGTGCTCGTATGGTGTAAGCCCGTCGCCGATGAGTGGGAATCAGCACGTTGGCATAGATCGGCGGCTTGTTGTGTCGGGGAATACGACCCTCGCTTGCGAGCGCGGTCTTCTATCCCACGCCCGCCCGAGAGCTTTCTTGTTGCCTAGACTATGAGTCTAGACGATGAGAGGAGGGCTGAAACGTGGATACTCACTCCCTATCGCAGGGGCACTTTGTCACGGCTACCGACCTTCTAGGTCCTCTTCGGGGTGAAGACGCGTTTCTCCGTTTCACTTTAGGCTTGGAGATCGGTTCCGCTTGGAGATCGGTTCCGCCTGGAGATTTTGGGTCCTTTTTCACTGCAGCATCTACCGGTCGTTCCCGCATTGATCATCATCTCTTCATCTCCGAGATCGAGAAGAAACCTTCGTCAACTAAAGAAAAGAGGTAGTGCCACCTCGAGCCCGCCCCTTTTAGACTTCAAGCGAGCCCGCCCCAAGAGACAAAAGAATCTTCTCGCGCACCTGTACCTCCTTCTTCACTCTCCCCTACTTCTCGGTGGGGGATAGAGAGAAAAGGGGCGGAAAAAGCATCAAATCTGGCGATCTTACTCAACATTTCCTTCCTACCGCCTCTTACGAGACGAGACCAAGGACTAGATTCGATCATCCGTTTCCTACAGCGGCTCCCTCCCCTTCCTCGCGTCTAGCCAGGAAGCGACCGACTCGAGACTCCATCTTCGTGGGATTCACCTTGCTTTTTCCAAGACTAGCTCATCTCGCCTCAAGGGGATCGCGCCAACCCCATTCGGATTATATCGGCGTCATTCCATCGCAAATACCCCCAGGAGGGAACACAAACTAGGCAGTCAACAGCTGAATGCGTGCGAGAGAAAAAAATTAGCCAAAAAGGAATACCAAGAATATTTCTCCACAATTACGGACGGGCACGCCTTTAGTTGCTTGCCTCCTCGGGTGGCCAGCTTTACCCCCTTGGGCCGAGCCTTTTTGACGCCATTTATATCTACTGGCAAACTAATGGCGCTCGGCCAAACTCTCCCAGAAGGAGATGCGCAAGGAAGCCGGGGAAGAGGGGCTGGTTGCGAGTCGTGGCCCGTTGCGTTAGTCCTCGAGGCCACTTCGAGACTGTCTCAACGAGATGCACACGCACCCGCCTATGTTGGTTTCCTGCCTCTCGTCTCTTCCCCTGGATCCTATCCCTCCCCGCCCCCTCTCCGGCGCGCATTTCGTTCCCTGCCCCCTGTTTACCCCTGCCGTAGTGTAGTGTCTTGAGGGTTGGAGGGTGAACGGGGTGTTGTGCATCGGCCGGTTGCGTTCAAGATCGTCGGATTCGGACAGGATAGCCCGGATGCGAAGAGGCGGACCGTCCGGCAGGCTAGTTGATTTTCCTCCCCTTGATATGCTTGCGGCTGGACTTTTGATGTTGGTTGACGTCGCTCTGTCCCCCGAGTGCAGACCATTCGTCTTGGCCGACAGACGGCTTTTGTAGATCACCTCAGGGTTTCTTTTCTTGAACTCCTGGTTAACTTTTTCTGTATATTACAAGTGCTCAGGGGTGGGGATTTATCGGGCAACCCCTAGCAAGCGGAAGCCATCTTGCCGCCATAATGCCCCCGGAAACCGCGGTTTAGTTTTCAGGGAGAGAGGATGGGCTGAGGTTGTCCGGCTCCCTGGCGAGTCAAAAGTAGAGCAAGATTCGCTGCTGCAACTTCTCATCTCTCGTGGAGAAGTCTTCAACAGCAAAAGGATACCCTTTTCTGTCCATAACTTCTGCCACGCTTCCTCTTACGGTAGCCCAGGGCCCTTTGATCTTTTCGCGCGACCCCATCTTATTGCTTTTTCTTTTGCCACCAGCGCCATGGCCCGTCCGTTGTTTTCCTATTGCTGCGCGCTCATCTTTTGTACCACAGTACTCGAAATTACCCATCGAAGCTGCGCCAGAGAATTCGCAATGCGAAAAAGCACCTTCAAGACTCGCAAAGGAAAAAGCACAAAACACCCACCGCTACCCTCTGCCTTGGTTCGCAATAGGTACCGCGGCGCCCTTTCTCTCGCTTTGGATTCTCCCAAGGAGGTGTGTTTTACGGGGAAAAAGATCTAGGTATGAAGCGCGAAGCGCACCCTTTGCTAAACTTGTGGATACGGACATGGGAGATCACATAACATAAGCGATCAGTAGTTTCTCTTGAAAGAGCGAGTCCCATTCAGTGATCGAATATCGAATGTTTGGGGCTGAAGGGATTGCAACCCGCAGTTTCCGATGGCACATTCTGCGTCCTTCATCGAGCTTCTTGTTTCCAACTTGATTTGGAGCTGCTAGCACTTGTCCTACGATGGCCAGACATCTCAAGTTGTTCGATGCGAGAACCATTGAGGGTGCCATCATTCCAAGACCACCCAGCACTGTCTTTTGCTTCTTCGCTGCACCCCATCCTTCGTCCGAGGTTAACAAGCGGTCTTGATCGGATGGCCTGGGGGTGCTTGAGCCCTGGGGACCCAACCATCACGATGCATGTTCACAAACAACGATTCGAGAAGCACGTTGATAGCTCGCGCTGGGGCCCGACGACCAATCAACAATTCCGAATATTTCCTGCCATGGAAGCTCTCTGGCAAGAAACCATTACCCTGCCAAAAGGCGTAACATTTGTCAGCCGATGAGGAGATGGTGAGCATTGGGAATACCGCCACGGAATAAAATATTCCCTTTCCGGAAGCTCTTCGGATATCAATAGCATCGGGGTCCGAGCGTTGAGACAAACAATATCGGGCACGGTGCAATCGGACAGTGTTTCGGGACAGCGCCACTGCTGATGAAGGCCACGCCCAGACCCTCCTCTGGCTCGAGCTTTTTGGCCTCCGCGCACCTTGGAGGTCCTTGCTCTGTCCTCCGTGGAGTATTATTCTCTGCATCTCTCCACCCCAGATAAAGGAACTGATGGTACTATAACCACCCCTGATGTCGTAATCCCCAGACCCCCTCCGCCCTCTCCGATTCTCGAGTTTTGTGTGTAGAGCCTGGCGTAACTTGCGCGCCCTGGGAGTGAGCCGAGCGATGGCCAGTTACCTCGCACCATGACGCTGAGAGTTGTGGCTCGGTACGTACTGCTTGCTCCTCGCCATTGCCTCCTCCTCAGGTCCGTGTTTGTTGCTCCCCCGGCCATCGAATTTTCCCATCACACCTGCTGTCCCCTTCTCTTGTGCCCTCTCTCCCCTCCCTTTCCATCATTAGCATTAGAGAGCGCAGCTCATACAAGTAGAGTAGAAACTGTAAGGGTAACGGCTGTTGCTGCACATGGCTCGGCACGGGTGGCGAGCAACGAGCTGACAAGCTTTCCCGCCTCCACCCATCACACCCCCTTACCCCAAAATAAACAGTCCCCCTTCCCTCTTGCTTTCCCCTCCCGCTCATAACTCTAGAGAGTTCTTCCTCTCTCCCTCTTCCCACTTCCGAGTGATCTCCATCTATCACCAACCTTCACTGTACTTAGCGTGTTAGTACGCCCCTAGTTCCGTCTTTGTTAGAATCAATTGACCTTGTTTGGTCCGACTTCTCCCACCACAAACATGTCTACTCGCAAGAGAAAGCAAGACGAAGAAGAGCTCGTCTCCCTTCCTTCTGACGAAGAATCCGAGCCGGAGTAAGCAACCCAGAGTACACCTTGATGCCCCGTCATGATGCGACGAAAACTGGGTCAAGAGGAGCCTTTTCGAGGGGCACCGATGTTAGACCTCGCAGTAGCGCATCGCTGGCTCAACCAAGCTAGGCGCATTCCTTGGTGAATCGCACCCTTGGATCGCGAATAGTGCCAATGCCTCCTCCCGTCTCCTCGTCGCATATTGAACGAGCACTGAAGCGCATCACTCAAAGCCGAATCGCCAACTAACAAGTAATTTTGTGATAGATTCGAGCCTGATGAGGATGATGTTGATGACGACGAAGAGGGATCGGGTGACGAGGAGGCTTCTAATGCTGAGGCCGAGGGAGACGAAGAAGATGAAGAGGCAGAGAATGAAGGTAAGAATCTGGCTTGCCGGAACACCGCTTCCTTATATCGGACCTTGTCACTTTGAGGGCTGAAGTAGTCTGACACTTGTCTTGTAGAAAACGGCCCTCCCGTGAAGAAGCGAAAGACGGCAAACGGCGTCGCCAATGGCGGTGACGAAGAGGACGAGGTGGAAGAACAGGGCGATGAAGAGGAACAGGAGGAAGAGGAGGAAGAGGCGGAGGATGATGGTGATCAAGATGAGGACGTTGAGGAGGATGGAGCTGAGGAAGAGGGTGAGGATGGCGCAAATGGCGAAGATGCTAGCCACCCCATCCAGAACGGCCTGGCCGGTAAGGCTGGTGAAGCATCCGATCCTACTAGGTCTGGGCTCGAGGACACTGCCACGGATGAGGATAAAGTGAAGGCCGTGGCGGTAGCTCTGGGAGGCGAGGCAGAAGCAGAAGTTGATGCATAGGTTCTTTTCCGGCAAACCCGGAGCCTTTGTCCATGTTATGTGTCTCTGTTTCCTGTCTTCTTCTTTCTTTATCCATTTGCGTTCCACAACGAAAAAAAGAACTCTCTTAGCTAGATGTCTTGTGAGGCGAGTTTTGGTTTGATCAATAGACCTTGGCGCTTCTGAAATCCACAGCTGGGATTATAAGCTCGTCCCGTTTGACCGTGAATTGGCCCTCGTTCCTCGGGCTCTGGTCCAGGCCCGGTCGCTTGAGCAGAAGGGCCAGCGACTTGCGCATCGCACCGTCCGGGCTGGCTCAAAGCGGACGAGGAAGCAAAAAGTTTCTTCGGAAGAATGACCATACTTGACTCAGAGATCCGGCGGTCCGAACTCCATCAGGCAACATGTCAGACATGTCTTAGCTATCGTTTGAGGGCATTCAGAATACCGGATCCTGCGTGGAGCGTGTGTGCTCACTCGGAACTTGCTCGGTATTGCACCGGCGCTGTATCCACGATGACGCCAGGCCCATCGGTAGAGCCTTATGATGACGGGATGGGGAGGCAGCGAAGCTCAAAAATCAAGGTCCTGAAGTTTTTTTGCATTGTTTCGAACGGGGAGAAAAAGTTGATCGTGGCAGCTGGCGAAGTTTTGTAACCCTAGCTCAAGAGAATTGTCGGGTGCAAGGTTTGGGCATGATTGGGCGACCCCTGCTAAACCAATCTCCTCTGACCATGTGAGATTGGGCAGAGGAAAATGCCGACGGCATCGCCATCGCTCCATTTTCCCTTTCATGTACATGTAGGCAAGCGAAGCCGCTCAAGATCGCGGCAGGGCACATTTTTAGTTTGGAGTGCCGAAGCGAGAAAGCACATGTCAAGACATCCATGGACCCATTCGCACTGATGCGTCTAGCGACATCCCGCTCGATAGCTCTTTCTTAGATTCATCCATCCTCTCTTCGCAACGCCACCACTCTTCGAAAGGGCGGAAGATAGGGGGTGTATGAATTAAACCGTGGGTAGTAGTTTCTTCTATTATCACGTAGCTCCTCTAAATGGCCAAAGTTGAACGGGTGGGCGACCAATATCTCTCTAGATTGATTCTTTGTTCACAAGAAAGCACTGCACTGGCGCGCTCGCTCCCGCCCAGTCGACCCACGCGTGTGCGAAGAGATACGCCGGCAATTGGAGAAATCCCAGCCGTCTCGGCGTAACCCTCAAGGGTGGGAACGTGGGTGGCAGCGGGCGCACGATAGTACGAAGTATCTACGCCGCGGATAACTAGTGAACGACGAGATAAGGTCCAGGCACTACTCCGACACAATGCGGACCACGTTCTCTGGGGGCCTGCTCAAGGGGAGGGGCTCGATCCCGGAATTGAGGAAGGCCAAGCATCAAGCATCGGCGGCTCGATAGCACCTTTGGCTAGGCGAAGCTCAAGAAACCAAAGGAGCGCCCTAGATGAGGCTATCGCAGATGCTCGTTCGAGTCGGTGAACCGCGAACCCAATAGATTCCCATTACAACTAGGACGATAGCTGGGTCCCGCTACGACCACGGTTCTTCCTCTGCGACGCAGACGATCGATCCACGGATACCCAGCGCTAGGAGAGGCTTTGACCTCGAATATGCCTTCTTCCACACCCTCAAGCCATGTTCTGCTTGATGCGGGTCCAGGTTGAGTGTACGGTTCGTCGGGCCTTTGAAGAGGGCGCGAACTCCAAGGGTCGTCTTTGCACCCCACCCCTCCTTCTCCCCAACGAAGAAGGGCTTTCACATGTGCTCAACCTTCATTGTAAAGCCAAGCATGCCTAGAATTTGTAAAGTACGGAGGAAGGAGCCCGACCGCGTCAAGAGAAGCACATGTCGGCGGAGGCGTGGCCAGCGCTGGATCCAACACCCATCGCCGATATCCCTCGTCTAGGCAGAGGCGTTTTGGCTAAAGCTGATACCCTAGCATACCGCACACTCCCTATAATACATGCACGTACTTCTCGGGAGGAACGGTAACAATAGCTGTTTCTCGATCCTAAGAAGAGCTATTTCGTCCAGGCTCGGAGCGATGTCACCGATAAGACGCGGTATCCGGGAGAGAAGTGGGGAGGGGGCGGTATCGTGGGTGAGGCGGGCCGCCCGCCAGTAGATTTGCGTTAAGCCGCAGGGGATTGCGCCCACTTTCACAATCCGCGGCAGCGATAACGTCAAGGAGCCCGAATAGGCGTGCTTCTTGCCCGTGGCACATGGCTTACCTCGTGCAGCGCTAGGGAAGATGGTGCAAGATGATGCACGGGGAGAAATGAGTTGTTCGCTGGGTCAGAGCCTAGGGTTCGAGTATTATCGGGTGAAGCACAATAGGTCAGCGCCACCCGAGGTCAAGGATGGCAAGGGAGAGAGCAAGGAAAGGAGCCATTCACGATTTTCGGATAACCCATTCCGCGAAACGAGCCCGCCGCATTGGTGGATTGGCCATTTCACCTTCTTCGGCTTCCATCTCGAATCTTGTACCCCATAATATGCTCGCTTCTCTACCGGAATTTGGGTTGGACCCCGAATACCACGGCAGCAATGCAATAGTTGGTGGGGGAATCGAATACATTTGGGGGTTTCAAAGCTATCTACAGGCCGAGAGCACGGGGTTTGGATGGCGAACTGAGTTGTCCTTGGAAGACCAGGATGGTGTTTAAGACTGACCGTTCTCCTCACCCTTATCCCAACGACATCGCTACTAAGGCTGCATGGAGAAACGATATCGCAAAGCGGGAAATGATAAAGTAGCGAGATAGAGGAGAGGACGAGTCCAAGATTAAAACAAGAGATAAAAGAAAGAACGCCCACACCTTTGAATGGGATTGAGCAACGTTCAAGGATCATGATGCGGCCGCAAGTCGCCATTTGAAATCTCGGACTTCAATAGATTACATCAATTGATTCAACCAGGATCCATGTATGCTGTCTACTACGGGGCCACCGAGCTAGTCGGCCCGGCGGCGGGAGGTTGGCCAATTTGCAGGGTAGTCGATGCAAAGGCAATTGAGTTGAAAGCGTCAACGCATCGAAGATCGAGGGAAGAACTCGATATTCACTGGACCCCCACCATCGATAGCTCCCGTCCAAAACTTGTTCACCTTTCAATTTTTGGGGGCCTTTCTCCCCCTTTGGAAAGAGCACCGCTGCCGGTGGGGCACTCATTTGCTGGGGTCGGATGTCCACGCCATCACGGTTCCATCAAACAGCACGATCGGTAATGGATCAACTTGTGGAATGTTCCCATTCCAGAAAAATGAGAAAAACAAGGCAGGAAAGAGATCCCCCAAGCTCCCAGGTGCGTTCTTACCCCCACCTGCCGGCCTTCCACGGAGGAGATTCGGCGCGGCCCAAACTCACTGGGATGATCGACGACGGGTTGGCGCTCGGGTACCTTGCTACCACCAACACAGACGAGAAAAGCTAAGAGAGCCTTGCTCAAATTCCAGGGCCAGCCGGCAGGAAACGTCTGCAGGTGGCCGTTAAGCCGGAGCAGCTTCTCCGCTGCCGAGATTATCCAGGCTTGAAACTCCCAGGTCTCTAGCATCTTAGGAAATCCGATGGGGCTGCTAGGCTGTTGTTTGGATCATCACTTTCCACAATTGAGTAAACCCTTGAATAACTATGATCTAGTGATGAGCATAGATGGAGCGCTGGTATTGTTTGAGAGCTGGCCTATTCGACCAAAGATGGGGGCACACGAAGTATCAAAGATGATTGGATGTACCTGCTCTAGTTGCTTGGCCCGTTAAGCCGCTTTTGTGCCTTGCCCCTTCTTCTCTATTCTTCTGCTTGGCCTTTTGCTTTTGCTTTTTCTTCTTTTCATTCTCGTACGACTCTATTAGTATGCGTATGGATTTGGCGGGGTTGGTGGCTTCTCGCAGGCGAATCTTCAAACCCGAAGTAGAGCGTGATATGTCTGCATGTCACATCTTCTCTTGTTGAGCGCCTTGCGGGGCGAGAAAAGACAGTCAAGCTATAGGTCTTGTAGACACTGTAAAGAAGGTGCTGCGACGTAGACTAGAGTGAATCCCTTCCTCCCCTCACACCACGGCCATTTTCACTCTTGATGGCCTTGCGCTCTCCCGCTTCCTTTTTTGTCTCTCTTTTCTTGTCCTTTTGAATCATTTTTCTCCCTCTTTTTCCATCCTTCACCTTGGCAAAGCGGAAACGTCAAGCGTCCTGGGACTAAACCTCTCAGTTTGCCACTGACGAGCCGCCAACACCGACTTATCGAGCCACTCTTTGGTGGCTTTCGCGCTTTGCTTCATCTGGCGAAGAGAGGGGAGGGGACTTGGCTGCCCCCTTCTCCTCGCCCCGCTGCAAGAAGCTGGCGCTCGCTTTGCACCTCTCACCCGCTAAGCTCCCGGAGCTTGATAGTTTTAGTCGAAGCTTGAGGGGAAATCCCCATCGGGTGTCTCGAAAATAGATCCAAACGGGTCAAGAGGGGTACAGGTTGGTCCGTGAGGAAGAGCACCAAGGAAGCCACCAACCGAAGCAAATCTAGCCTGGGAAAGCTCCAACAACCTCTCGTCACGTCGTGATGTTTTAGCTTGGAGTACCGGTTTATTTTCCACACAAACCGCCCCCTTTCCACCTCGCTTGCCCCAAAATAGTGGTAGTCTTGTTGGTTACACCCACCCTCAGGCCCCCTCCTTCACATCCTTGCCCCTCCAAGAGTTAGTAATGAAAGATGCAGATCGCCGCTACCTCCCAGGCCTAACGGACCTAATGTGGGCCGCGAGGGGTGCGATCAATGACCAGCTGCCTGTGCCATCCTTGGTCTGAAGCCTAGACAGTATAAACTTCACTATAAGCAACCTCTACAAATGGGGTCTCAGATACAGCGAGAAATGCGGGTAGAGATTAGGAAAGAAATTTAGCATGAAGCCTCAACTGCACCAGCAAACGAACGGGAGGGAAGATGTTATCAACTCGCGCCATGGGACCGTGGACGTCGTCCTCCTGGCCCCGTGGCTGTTTCGTGCAGCCTTGA